AAATCAACAATCCAAAGAGGCTTATGCACCCCTATGTTCATTGCAGCATTATTCACCATAGCCAAGAAGTGGAAGCAACCTAAGTGTCCCTCGACTGATGATTAGATCAAGAAGATGTGGTATATATAGACAATGGAATACTACTCAGCCATAAAAAAGACAAAATCATCCCATTTGCAACAGCATGGATGGGCCTGGAGCGTATTATGTTAAGTGAAATAAGCCAGAAAGAGAAAGACAAACACTGTATGATCTCACTCATATGTGGAATATAAACCAACACATGGACAGAGAAAACTGTACTGTGGTTACCAGGGGCAAGGGGGGTGGGGGGTGGACACAAGGGGTGAAGGGAGTCATATATATGGTGATGGACAAACAAAAATGTACAAGCCAAAATTTCACAATGTTAAAAATCATTAAAACATCAATAAAAAAGAAGAGGCTTTATGCTGCAGCAATATCAACCATGGGTCTTTTATTTCTTGGAAATGTTTATTTTTTAAATTAAAAAAAAATGAGGATGATTGGCAGATGTTAGCTCAGGGCTGATCTTCCTCACACAAAAAAAAGAATTTTGTTAAATACCTAGTAAAAGATTAAGTTGTTTGAAATGATTATAATCAGGATTTTGTTCCTGGGTAATAAGTTTTAAAATCTTTTAATTATGAAATATTTCAAACCTACTGAAAGGTACAAAAGAACAGTGGAACAGACACTTGTGTAATCTCTACCCAGTATTAGCAATCTTGAACTGTTGCCTTATTTGCTTTAGAAATTCATTCGCTCTTTATCTCTCTCCCCGACTTTCTTCCCTCCTCCTTTCCCTCCCTCATTCCCTCCTTCCCTCCCTCTCTCTTGCCTTCTCTCCTTCCCTTCCTGTCTCCCTCCCTCCTTCTACCCCAGCAAAATAAAACATTACTGGTGGGATGTCAGCTCACTTTTCATCCCCTTGCATTTTTTATAGACTTGGTACCTACCTGCGGATCATCCAGTTTGCTTCCACATTTCTCTCAAGAACTGTAGCCTCCCTCTTTCTTCTCTGTCACCAACTCAGGCAGGCCTTTCTTGGCTACCCTGTCTAAAGAGGTGCCCCCCCCCCTTTATTCCGCCTTATTTTCCTCCGAGGTCTATGTGATAACATATTGTGTATCCCTCTCTGTTTGTTACTCCGTCTGCCCCATCAGAGCATAGACCTCCCGTGGGCAGGGACTTGTGTTGTGGGCTGTGTATCCACGGGGCCTAGAGTGGTGTTGGCTCACAGTAGGCACATGATGAGTATTTGTGGAGTGCAGAGCTTCCACCTCGTCCCTGGGCAGGGAAACCTCTGTGATGTACTCCTGTGCATTACAGAAATCTGGTCTTCTTTCAGGTTCTGGTGATAGAACCAACCAAAGTCTACCAGCCTTCGTATGTCTCTATAAACAGTGACGCTGAGGAGAGGACGGTTTCTCTGTGGCACGTCCCACCCACGGAAATGGTAAGAAAAAACTTACAAACAGCTCTCTTTCTTCTGTATTATTTAATCAAAGATTCAGTTTTCAAGTAAGAGAGTCTATGCTGTAGTGTTTGGAAGAACAGGCACCTGTGGCTAACTTCTGAATTATGGGAATGTATGAGAGAGTATAATCACAGATGAAAAAAAGGAAGTAGGATTTCCCATTGTATATCTATTTGTATTATATATGTGTGTATATATATATATGTATGTATATATGTGTGTGTGTATATATACGAATGAATATAGGCTTGTTTTTAAAGTTAAACCATAAGGAGTGAATAAAGAATAAAGAGAATGTCCCTCCAAATCCCCCCTAGTGATTTGGTGATTATCTGTCTATACTTTTTTCTAAACTCACTTATATATGTATAATGTGTGTGTGTATACATACATTATATATACATATGTATGTGTGTGTATATATAGAGAGAGAGAAAGAGAAAGGCATTTTCATTAAAGTGAGATCATACAGTAAATATTTATTATTTTGCAACTCACTCTTTTTTTTTTTAAGGAAGATTGGCCCTGTGCTAACATCTGTTGCCAATCTTCCTCTTTTTTTCTTTTTTTTTTTCTCCCCAAAGACCCAGTACATAGTTGTGGCTCATAGTTGTAGAGTTGTAGCTCTTCTATATGGGACGCCCCCTCAGCATGGCTTGATGAGCGGTGAGTAAGTCCGCGCCCAGGACCCGAACTGGCGAACCCCGGGCTGCCGAAGCTGAGCGCACGAACTTAACCTCTACGCCACCGGGCCGACCTCACAACTTACTCTTTTTAACTGATCTTTGCATCATGGCCAGTTTTTCATATAGCACACACTGATCCATCTGATTATTTTAAATGGAATATTCCCTATATTTCTGAGTATGGATGAACCATAATTTATTTCACCACTTCCCTGCTGATGCACTTTTTTTTTGTGAGGAAGATCAGCTCTGAGCTAACATCCAGGCCAATCCTCTTTTTGCTGAGGAAGACCGGCCCTGAGCTAACATCTATTGCCAATCCTCCTTTTTTTTTTCCCTTTTTCTCCCCAAAGCCCAGTAGATAGTTGTATGTCATAGTTGCACATCCTTCTAGTTGCTGTATGTGGGACGCGACCTCAGCATGACCCTACAAGCGGTGCATCAGTGCGCGCCTGGGATCCAAACCCGGGCCGCCAGTAGCGGAGCACACACACTTAACCACTAAGCCACGGGGCTGGCCCCTGATGCACTTTTAGGTCTCAATTTTGCACTCTAGCTGATGGTAGGTATGCTGGGCACACCCTGGCGGTTACACCCTACCATGCTCATGTAGGTGTTTCAGGGGCAGAGAGTCCCAGAAATGGAGCTGCTGGATTCAAGACTACACACATTTACAATTCGATAGCTACTTTCCAATCTGTGCTCTTCTGATTTATACTTACACCAACAATGTGGGAGAGGAAACATTTTAATTGCCTGTTAATGAGATTACAGAAATGCTGGGCCAGGCCTGATGTTTTGTGGTAACTGCTATATTTTCATCTCTGTGTGTCTAAAGTACTTCATCAGCTTTTTTCTTTATTAAAATATTTTGTAATAATAAAAAGATATAGCACCTCTGACAAGTGCATTAGGTAGATCTATTTGCTATGTATATGTTTTCATGGAGTATGGGGAGAGTTCTGCCATTAACTTGGCAAAGAAGGATTATTTTTTTCCTGGAAACAAGAATGTGAGCAATTATGTTTTCATCAGGTGAAAATAAGCAATATCTTCAACAATAAAATGCAACATTGGAGAATAAGCAGAGGCTCAAAATCATATTAGAAATTCCTTATAAGAAATAGTCATGATACAACAACTCCCCATTGTTCAATGGGTGTAAAGTTTGAGTTATGCTTGATGAGTAAGCTGTAGAGATCTGCTGTACAACATAGTGCCTGTAGTTAACAAAACAGTTTTGTGCACTTCAACATTTGCTAAGAGGGTAAATCTTATGTGTTCTTACTACAGACACACACAAATAAAAATAAAAATCAAGGGATACAAGGACACTTGGGGAGGTGTTGGATCTGTCTAGTGCCTTGCTTGTGGTGGTGATATCATGGGTGTTTGCATATGTCCAAACTCATTAAATTATGCACATTAAATATGTGCAGTTCTTTGTACCTCAATTTTTTTTATACCTTATAAAAAAAGAAATAGTCATGAATGATATCTCAAGTTGTCTTAGTCTGCTCACGCTGCTGAAACAGGATAACATAGACTGGATGGCTTAAGAAACAGAAATTTATTTCTCACAGTTCTGGAGGTTGGGAAGTCTGAGATCAGGGTGCCAGCATGGTTAGGTCTGGTGAGAGCCCAATTCCTGGTTTGTAGATGGGGGTATTCTTGCTGTGTCCTCACGTGTTGGAGAGAGACAGAACTCACTTATGTCTCTTCTTATAAGGGCACTAATCCATCATGAGGGCTCCACCCTCATGACCTAATCACGTCCCAAAGGCCCCACATCTAAATACCATCACACTGGGGGTTAGGACTTCAACGTATGAATTTATGGGAACACAAACATTCAGTCTATTACACAAGTGTAAGCCAATAACCTTGTCTAATATTTAACAATGAAGCAACCTTGTTTTTTTGTTTGTTTGTTTTTGTGAGGAAGATCAGCCCTGAGCTAACATCCATGCCAATCCTCCTCTTTTTGCTGAGGAAGACCGGCTCTGAGCTAACATCCATTGCGAATCCTCCTCCTTTTTTTCCGCAAAGCCCTAGTAGATAATTGCATGTCATAGTTGCACATCCTTCTAGGTGCTGTATGTGGGACGCCACCTCAGCATGGCTGGAGAAGCGGTGAGTCCGTGCGCGCCCGGGATCCGAACCCAGGCTGCCAATAGCAGAGTGTGCTCACTTAACCGCTAAGCCACAGGGCTGGCCCCGAAACCTTGTTGATAATAGTCAGCAGCCGTTAGTGAAGATGAGCTGCCATAATATGCTTGGTTTTTTTTCCTGTACTGTGTGTATTAAATATTTGAGTGCAAAAGAGAAAAATTAAAGCTATAATAAAGTGAATTCATGGTGTTCATACAGATATATCTCATTTGAAGAATGCATGCATCTTCTATTAAATTCGCCTCTTTGGGTTTTTTTTGAACTTTTTATTGACGTATAATATACAGAAAAGTGCATCAATCATAAATGTAAAATTTGATGGATTTTTACCAAGTGGACACACCCAAATACCCAGTGCAGGTCAAGGAAGAGAACATCAGCAGACCCCCACCCCGGAAGTCTTGGTTATGCTCCCTTTGTGCCCCCTCCAGGTACCACCTCCATGAAGCAGCTTGTTCTCAGTGTTGGAATTCTTGTACTAGAAACCAACCTTTCTTATTCTTTGTGTCTTTGATGCCACCGTGATATGAAAGAATTTTCAAAATTCTCATCTGTCATCTCACTATTCCATTTTGGAGCAAGAAGGTTTTGGTCTCATGGAATTCTTCACACTTTGCCCACTTCATTTGAATCCTATAATGGTTGCTAGCCCTTAATGGACATTTCCATTGGCACATATAATATCTCACTAGTTGTAAATGTTTTACTTTGTGTATAGTCCGTAATAAGAAATGGAAAGAACTATACAAGCAGCAAATGCTAGTTTTCCTTGACTGATGAAATGTTTTGTACAAGTGCTTGTAGTTGTCAGAGCAAATGTCTGAGAGAAATATAAATTGCTTTTTTTCCTTGAGAGGAAGCCTTTGCTTTTGCCTTCATTTACATTTTTGAAATTCTGCAGATTGTGAAACCAAGCAGATTTGCCTAGAGTGAGATGACATTTCTCTACAGAGTGTTGCATTTTTTCCCAGTGGGCTACCGATGGTGGGAAGAGATCACACACATGCACATGTTCACACACAACGTCACTGTAAGATGAGATTAAGTTCTGGTTTATTAGCCAAGGATTCAGAAACTTATGCTGGTAAATGTTTAATAACCAGCTCTCCGGGGGACACGGGAGCAGAGGGCTGATTTATAGTTTTTTGCTGATTTCTGTGGTGTAAATACTCCTGCCATGGCCAGTTTCAAGCAACCAACATGGGGTCACTGAGTATGAGGTGAGGAAGAGATGTGCAAAATTGGCCTTCCCAAGCCGGTACAAGCTGTACCCAGCACATAGCACACCAATGTGACGAGGCTGCACAGTGCAGGAGCAAATGCAGCATTTCTCCCTCAGCTTCTCTTGGGCCCCAAAGTCACCAACAGGCACATCGTGGCCACCAGCATTGTCCACACAGATAGGGCTGCTAGTTTTGGAAAGCCCTTTTTTTGGTGCCTTTTATACTTACGTTAGCAACGGGAGAAACTTACACAAAAAGTCTATGCTCTTACCACAAAATTGTCACAAACACCCAAGATTTCTCCTCACACGTCTGCATTCTGGGGGTAGGAGGGCAGAAGCTGAGTCAACACCCAGGGGATCCTGGAGGCGTGCCTCTACCTCTGGCTTCCTGGCCCGTTTCTCCATAACCCACCCTGGCTCTGCCTCTAACGCACTTCTGTCAGGGGCTTCTGACACTGACATGGAAAGCTACAATCTTGACTCTGTTTTCTCGTCATGATTTAGATATGGTAAAATATCCCCTCTCAGAAAAGATCAGGACGCTGCCTAACAGAAAGTTCAGACTAGGAGGAAAACAGTCCCAGCTTTCCTGATCAAGTGCTCCGTGCCGGTTGACCCACCAGGACACCAAATCAGAAATAGTGCATCCAGTCTGTCTTCCACTACCAGATATTTCATGAAAAACTCCAGTCACAGATACAAGAGAGCATGGACTTAATGATACCATTTATATAATATTTCAGAATGGGCAAAACCCTCTGTGGTGGTAGAAGCCAGAATAGCAGTTGCCTTTGGGTGGAAAGGAGTGACTGGGAATGGGGTTATGAGGGAAGCATGTGGGCTGCTGCTAATGTTCTGTCTCTTGATTTAAATGCTGGTTACAGTGGGTATTCATTTTGTGGAAATTTGTTCAGCTAATCACTGTGCCCTTTTCTGAATATATGTTATACTTCAGTTAAGTTTAATAATCATTAAAAAGCACTCGTACTGGACCTCTTGATACTCTCCAACCATTACTGGATCCAAATAAAACTCAAACTCTTTTCCCAAGTGTCAAGTCCCTACACAATCTTGCCCCTCCCTTCCTCTCCTCCCAGACCCTCAGCCCCAGCCAGACTGTCCTCTTCTCGTCCCCTCCCCGTCCCCTGAGCTGGTCTCACAGGGGCTCACAGCTGCACTTTTGCTCTCATCCTTTTTCCTCTCTGGTATTCCGTCTTCCAATTATCCAAGTCCTACCTTTGCAAAGGCATCTCTAACCACCCTTTCACTCTTTCCCCTGAATGTCTGTAGGCTACCCAAATGGCTGTGTCATGTACAAAGTACGTCCTGTCACTTATTTATCGGTTTCCAAAAATGTCTCCCCAAATACATTGCAAGCCCATGCATGACTTCTATATTTTTATATCTGTAAGACCTACAAAGCAGGTACCCCCCCCAAATGCCTATTGATTATGAGATAAAGGGAAAGAGGGGAGGTCCATGTTGTTTACTTCTTGACTAGTGAATCTCCCTCCCAAATGGAGAAGTTCCCTGAAGCTACGCTAGGGTAAGCCTACCATCTGTGAGTACTTGCAAAACTCTTGTGGCTGAGCTTTCTATGTACGTGCAGCCTGTTGGAAATGTATGTGGGACAGACAAGGCCTTCTTGAATCTGCCCTGGCTCATATTTCTGTGCCTGAATCCAAAAGTAGACTCCTGCTCTCCACCACTACCCTCTTTCAGTGACTTTGAACACACCTCTCCTCTGAAATATGCTCAGTCTGTCTATGGGGTTGGGACTGATGTGATGGCTTTCCTGTTTTCGTTCACTTTCATCTTTCACAGCCTTCAATGGCTTCCCATCTCACACACAGAAGAAGCTGAAGTCCTGGTGATGGCTTCCAAGGCCCTGCCTGATCTCCCTCCTGAGCTCCAACCTCCTTTCCCACCCCCCTCCTCACTCCACTCACACTCCTCTCCTTGCTGGTCCCCAAACATGCCAAGTACACTGCTGCCTCAGGGCCTTTACACTTGCTGTTCCCTTTGGCTGGAAGTGTTACCCCAGATGTCTGCATGGCTCTCTCCTTCACCCCCTTTAGCTTTCTGCTCAAAGGTCATCAGAGAGGCCCTCCCTGAGCATCCAGTTTAGCATCATGACCCCCTGCCCCACCTTAATGTCCTTCCCTGCTTTATTTTTCTTTGTAGCACTTTTTAGCCTCCACCATGCTGTTAATTTAATAATTAATTTTTTTTTTTAATATTTATTTTTCCCCCAAAGCCCCAGTAGATAGTTGTATGTCATAGTTGCACATTCTTCTAGTTGCTGTATGTGGGATGCGACCTCAGCATGGCCGGAGAAGCAGTGCGTGGGTGCGCGGCCAGGATCCGAACCCTGGCCGCCAGCATTGGAGCACACGCACTTAACCGCTAAGCCACGGGGCCGGCCCAACTAATTAATTTATTATCCGTCTTCTCTCGCTTGAAAGTAAGCCCCATGAGTGCAGGGAATTTGTTGTTCTCTAGCGTGTTCTCAATGCTGGTACCTTGCCTGGCACGTAGTTGGTGTTTAATCAACATGTGAATGGATCTTCTCCTATTGGGAACCATCCTCCCAGTTCCTGTTGTCATTGCTTGAGGATGGCGGGAAACTTGTCACCTGACCATTTGTGGTGGTTCTCCTGAGCCATATGCTGAGTTATTTGGCTCTCACACTTCCCTGGGGGACTTAGCTGGTCATTTATGACATTCCTCAGGCTAACCAAATGTATTTTCTCATTCAAAATTATTTTCTATTGTTGTGATGTATTGGTATTCTAGCCTACGGCTCTTCTGAAACTGGAATTTTAGACATTCCTTCTGAGGCTTGGCTTTGTGCAAAGTTTGAGGGCAGGGAATGGTGTAGTGGAGAGAGAGGACAGAGTTATTAAAAAAAAAAAAAGTGCATCTTGTCCAGATTGAAATCCTAGTTAGTTTTTGTGTTATTCTTGGTAGGCTAGCTGCTAAAACAAATAGCCCCCGAATATTAATGTCTTAGCATGATCAGTTTGTTTATCTATGTCTCGTGTCATATCCAGGTTGGTAGGGTCTCCATTCCATCTTGTAGTGGATGAGGAAAGAGAAGGTTAGAAGATTGCTGTGGAGGTTTTTATGAGCCAGGCCCGCAGGTGGCACACATCACTCCTGCTCACACTCCATTGGGCGGAACGCCATCATATGGCCCCACCTAGCTGCAAGGGAGGCTGGGAAAAGTATTCTAGCTATGTGCCCAAGGAGAAAAAGACATAAAGGTTGGTGAACATTGACTGGTATCTGCCACATTCTTGCTTCTCCAAACATTTTGGCAGGTCACTCAACTTAGGTGGGCTGTTCCCAAACTCATTTTAGAGTTTTCCTGATATATTGACAGAAGATGAAAGGCCGCTCACTGTGTACTTATTGTGTGCTTATTGTTTCTATTTCAGATTTAGATTGTTTGCTCTAAACTGGATTAGAGATACAAGTGAATTTTTATAATACATTAGAAAATGTTTCTGGTGTTCCAAGTTATGCAAAATATATTGCTCTAATCCCTAAATCTCTATTGAAAGTAAAATAGCAGAATCAATTGACCATAGAATGAAACCAAAAATGATTATTTGCATGGAAAAAATCAAGCTACTGACTTTTGTCTTTGATACCTGCAGAAACAAATCCATGAATGGAATTTTACGGCCTCTTCCGTTAGGGGAATAAGGTAAGAACATAAGAGAAAATGTAATTATTGTTTAATGTAAATAATGATAATAATGTTTTATTACCCTAATGTTTCCACTTATTTATAATATGTGATGTTCTCATTTTTAATGGAATCCAAAATGGACTGTTTTCTCCTTTGTGGCCCAGCCTGACCTTGTTCATAATGTGCTGCTAGTAATGGCTTCTTGGCTTGTTATAGCAAAGTAGACTTTTTTGTATCTAACAGACCAAACTCTCTTGTCTCAAACTTTTTTAAAACAATGAAGTTATATCTGTAGAAAGAGAAAATGTTTCTTCTTTGAGCCAGTGATGTTCAAGTGCTCAGGGACCCCGAACTGAACTGGGATTGCTTGGTAATGACACTTGGCTGGGGTCCCCTGAGCAGAGTAGTGGAGCCAAGGGCATTGTTATTAGCAAGGCAGTGGGGTAGTGTATCCCCAGGAGAGATGTGGCACTTGCTTTTGGATCGGGGGTGGTGACCATTTGGGCCTGAACCTTGTGGCTTCCCTCTGAGTCTCACCCTGCCAGTACCTCCAAGAGGGGGAGCAGCCCTGAAAGAGATGTGAGTTCTAATCCCTCTTTTGCTGTTTGACCTTGGGAAAGTCATTCAACCTCTCTAGGTCTCATTTTCTTCATAGTTTCCATCAAATTAAAGGCTTGCACTAGAACTCTATGTCTTTTCTCTGATTCTGAGACCACAGGCCACTGAATGAATCCCCTGTTACCTCCAGACACAGTATGATCCTGTCCTAGACACATCAGTGTTTAAATTAGAATAAGTTTATGTCACTTTAAAAGGGAGGGAAACAATTTAAGAGCAGAGTAGTATATTTAATACTGCTCAGAAGAATATAAAATAATTCAAAAAGTGTTGAACATTTTCGAAAACATATTACTCCAAAACTAAGTTGTATGAGAGTATGTAGTCAGGAACCTTCTGTTTGTACCTTCTCATAGAGGTACCTCCTGCTGCCATTTCAACCATTAACGGAGGTGTGCAAAGGGCCTGGGGTGAATCAGACCCTGGGGCCAATGTGACATGAAGAGCGTGTCTTGAACATTCCCAGTGCTATCCAACTAACTGTGGTAGTTCCTTTACAGATTGGTTTTCAAAATGTACTCATGTATAACCTAGTTTTAATTCTCTTTGAATCACCCTGTGCCATTGCTGCTTCAACTCAGTATTGGTAATCCATAATATACGAAGAATGGTCAAAGAAGCTATGGATCTCAGGAAGAGATGACTTAGAGAGGGCAAGATAAAGTGGCTTCATTTGTTTGAAGGGCTAATCATAGAAGAGAATCTAGCCTTTTCCGTAGTGCCATCTGGCAAAAATGAAGGCCATTACATAGGCATTGGCCCAGTGTAGGTAAAGAACTTTCTAGCAGTGAAATCCATCAACAGATGGAGTATGGTGATTTTCTGTCACTGGATATGCCCAGGCAAGCTGAATATTACCTGTTCGAGGAGCTGTAGAGTCAGATCCAGACCTTGGGTGGGGACGGACCAGATAACTTGTAAAGGCCTTTCTTGAGCTAAGATGCCATGTTTATTTCTACTTCCCTCCTGTGGCTACAATTACTGTGTCCTGATATTTTTCAAGTCTAGAAATTCCTTTCATACCATATAATAACTTATTTCACAAATACCTTTCTTGCCTTTTTTGTGAAATTATAAACTCTTGAGGGCAGAGATCATATTTTATTCTCTTTTCTGCTGCCCATATGCTTTGCTTAGCACTGAATATATAGTAAGTTCTTGATACATATTAAAGTCAGTTGATGAATACAGACTCAAACATAAGCAAGATAAATGTCCCTGCTTTTTAAATTTCATAGAGAAATAGAAGTCAATTTTGGGAGTATTTGTTAAAACATTGATGAAGCTTTCAAATTTGTAAAATGGAAGAAAATCTGTTACTAGATTTTTCTTCAAAAATTTAAAATTGATATCATAATTTATACTAAATAAGCATTCTTATGTTTTAAAATTTTACAGCATATCCAAGTTTGATGAACGGTGTTGTTTTCTTTATGTCCATGATAATTCTGATGACTTTCAAATATACTTTTCCACTGAAGACCAGTGTAGTAGGTGAGTTATAGCTGACTCAGGTATTTCCAGTCTAATTATGGTGAATCATTTTTAAAGGGTATTGGTTGTGAAAAATATTTGCTATCCTGCCTTTCCTGAAATTTTAACTTATAGAAGATTATTTTTATAGCTTTATTGAGATATAATTCACGTACCATGCAATTCGCCCATTTAAAATGTACAATTCAATCTTTTTTTAGTACAGTCACAGTTTTGCAGCCATCAGCACAATCTAATTTTAGGATATTTTCATCACCCCCAAAAGAAACCCAGTATCCATTAACACTCCCCATTTTCCCTCAACCTAATCCCCCCAACTCCAACCCTATGCAACCACTAATCTACTCTCTGTCTCTATGGATTTGCCTCTTCTGGACATTTCATGTAAACAGAATCATACAATATGTGGTCTTTTGTGACTGGTTTCTTCTACTTATCATAATGTTTTTAAGTTCAGCCACGGTGTAGCATGTATCAGGACTTCATTGCTTTTTGTGGCTAAATGATATTTCATTGTATGGATATATTTGATTTATCTGTTCATCATTTGGAAGGCATTTGGGTTGTTTCTACTTTTTGGTTATTATGAATAGCATTCACATGCAAGTTTTTGTGTGGACATATGTTTTCATTTTCTCTTGGAGTCAAATTACTGGGTCTTATCGTAACTCTGTGTAACCTTTGAGGAACTGCCAGACTGTTCTCCCATTTTATATTCCCATCAGCAGTGTATGAGGGTTCCAATTTCTCTACGTCTTTGAAGCACTCATTATTGTCTGTCTTTGTGGTTATAGCCATCCTAGTGGGTGTTAGGTAGAATCTCACTGTGGTTTTGATTTGCAGTTCCCTGATGAATAATGATACTGAGCATCTTTGCGTGAGCTTATTGGCCATTTATATATCTTCTTTGGAGAACTATCTGCTCAAATCTTTCACCCAATTAAAAAAAATTTAAGTTTTTATTTGGGGAAATATTCAAACCTACAGGAAAGTTTCAAAAAAACGGCATAAAGAATTGCCATATGTGTTTCAGCCAGAATTCCCCAATATTAACCCTTTACCACATTTGTTTTACATTCTCTATATTCATATGATTTTTTTTCCTGAACTGTTGAAGAGTAAGTTGTAGACATAACGCTCCATTACCTCTCAATATTTCAATGTGTATTTCCTAAAAACAAGAACTTGCACTTATGTAATTACAGTACAGTTATCTAATCAGGGGATTAAGATTGATACAGTCCTATAATCTACAAACCTTATCCAAATTTTACTTATTGTCCCACTAAAGTCCTTTATAGTAAAACAAAAGATTTTTTCTCTGGTCCACAGTCCAATCCAGGATCACATGTTACATTTAGTTGTCCTATCTGTATAGTCCCCTTTTATCTGGGACAGTTCTTCATCAGTCCTTCTTTGTCTTTCTTGACTTAATGCTTTCAAAGAGTACAGGCAGTTTATTTTGGGTAGTCCTTCAATATGGGTTTGTTTGATGTTTCCTCATGATTACGTTAGTGTTACACATTTTGGGTAGAAATACCACCGAAGTGATGTCGTGTCCTTCTCAGTGCATCACATTGGGAGACATACAATATCTTTGACTCATTACTGGTGATATTAACTTGGCTCACCTGGTGAAAGTGGTGTTTGCCAGGTTTCTCCAAATTTTGCCGATTTTTAATTGGGTTATTTGTATTTTTCTTAATGAGTTTTAAGAGTTTTTTATATATTCTGGATACGAGTCCCTTATCAGACGTATGATTTGCAAATACTTCCATTCTGGGGGTTGTTTCACTCTGTTGGTGGTGTCATCTGCTGCACAAAAGTTTTGAATTTTGATGTAGTCCAATTTATCTATTTTTTCTTTTGTCATTTGTGATTTTGGTGTCATATCTAAGAAGGCTTTGCCTAACGCAAGGTTTTCTATGGTGTTTATGTTTTCTTTGAAGGGTTTTGTAGTTAGCTCTTATATTTAGGTCTCTGATCCATTTTGAGTTCATTTTTGTATATGGTATGAGGTAGGGAGTCCAACTTCATTCTTATGCATGTAGATGTGTAGTTGTCCCAGCACCATTTGTTGAAAAGACTGTTCTTTCTCCCATTGAATGGTCTTGGCACTCTTTTAGAAAATCAGTTAACCATAAATGTAAGCATTTATTTCTGGACTTTCACTTCTATTCCATTGATCTGTGTATCTGTCCTTATGCCTGTACCACATTTTCTTGATTACTGTAGCTTTATAGTAAGTTGTAAAATCAGAAAATGTGAGTCCTCCAACTTTATTCTTGTTTTTCATAATTGTTTTCGCTATTGTGGGTACTTGTGTTTCCATGTGAATTTTAGGATCAGCTTGTCAATTTCTGAAAAAATGGGCAGCTAGGATTTTGACAGGGATTGCATTGGATATGTAGATCAATTTGGGAAGCATTGCCATCCTAACATATTAAGTCTTCCAGGCAATGAACATGGGGTATCTTTCTATTTGTTTAGGTCGTCTTCAATTTCTTTCAACAATTTTTATAGTTTCAGTGTACAAGTCTTGTATTTCTTTTGTTAGATACACGCCCAAGTATTCTATTCTTTTTAATGTTATTGTGAATGGAGTTGTTCTCTTAATTTCTTAACTCGGACTGTTCATTGCTAGTGTATAGAAATACACTTGATTTTTGTATATATTGTTTTTGTATCTTGCAACCTTGGTGAACTCGTTTATTAGTTCTAATGGTTCTATTGAATTCTTAGGATTTTCTGTATGCAAGATCATGTCACCTGCAGATAGAGATAGTTTTAGTTCTTCCTTTCTAACCTGGATGCATTTATTTCTTTTTATTGCATAATTATCCTGACCAGAATCTCCAGTACAATGTTGGGTAGAAGTGGCGAGAGCAGACATCCCTGTCTTGTTCCTGATCGTAGGCAGAAAGCATCCGGTCTTTCTCCATTGAGTGTGATGTTAGCGGCAGGTTTTTCATAGATAGCCTTTATCAGGTTGAGGAAGTTCCCTGTATTCCTAGTTTGTTGAGTGTTTGTATCATGTGATTTAAGAACATTTTAATGTGCTGTGTCTTAGACAATCATTATCACAAAATATTTAGAAATCAGACTGAACATCAAACTAGGGAACCCTTGCGTCACAACCTTCAATTTAGAGTTGGAAAATTGCTGCCAATTAGGCAGAACATCCCTTTACTATGAAGTTTACCTTTCTGACTCTCATTCAGTCCTCAATGCCTTTTTTTTGTCATACACTTTAATAATTTTTAATTGAGGTGTAGCATAATACAAGTAAAGTGTGTAAAGTACATTTAAGTATACACCTTATCAGTTTTTACATATATCTACATCTGTGTACCCACCCTCCAGATCAGCACCCCAGAAGGTGCCTTATGCCCCTTCCCAGTCACTAAACCCCCTCCAGTGGTAACTATTGTGATTTCTATCACCAATGGTTAGTTTTGCCTGTTCTTAAACTTCAAATAAATGGAATCATGAAGTATGTACTCCTGTTTCACACTTCTTTCTCTTAAAATAATATCCATGAGATTCAGCCATGATGCATGTATCAGTTCATCCTTTTTATTGCTGTGTAGTGTTCCATTGTGTGACTATACAACAATTTGTTCTATCCGTGAACATTTGGGTTGTTTCCAATTTAGGGCTATTGTGAATAAAACTGCTATGAACGTTCTCGTACATGCCTTTTGGTGAACATAAGCATTGATTTCTATTGAGTATATACCTAGGAGTGGAGTGACTGGGTTATAGGGTAGGTTTACATTCAGCTTTGGTTGATACTGCCAATAGTTTTCCAAAGTGGTTGTATCAATTTACACTCCCACCAGTGATGTTTGCGAGTTCCAGTTGCTCCATATTCTTAACAACAATTGATAACTGTCTTTTAAATTTTAATTATTCTGGTGAATGCATACCATATGTCTCCTAAGAAGCCTGACTATTGCATTTCCCAGCTTTCAAAGATTAGAAGAAGCAAAAGTGGGATGGGTTAGTTGGAGAAAAGAACATTTTGATGTTTTGTGGAAATTATCTTAAAGAATACAGTATTTTTCCCTGCCATCTTAAGAGAGAATTCTGAATAAAAATTTTCTAATGAGTCAGATTGTTTGCAAAGAAACAACTGCACAAGTCTAGGAAGTGGCTGGTGTGGCCCAGCAGCACATCAATCTTGTGAGAAAGATTTATGGGTAATAGTTGATATTAAGCTTAATCTGTGTCAACAGAATAATGAGGCCACCTTCTGCATTTCCTTCTCCTCCTTCTCCTTGTATAAGACTTTATTTCTCACTAAGAACTAGAGTGTCTACAGCTTGAGAGGTGATGGTCCTACTATCCTTAGCACTCATTAGATCACCTTTGAGGAATTACCTGTTAGTGGAGTAACTCACAAACAAGTCCTGGGGGAAACATTGAGGGAACAAGGAGGAAAGACTTATAGGGACATAGTAAAATTGTGGACATTTCTAATGGGCTATTATGTAGAAGAGGGAATAATTCTAAGCAATCTGTAGATGGAACCCACATAAAAGAAGTCTTAGTTCAATATAAATGAAGCATTTCTCATTGAGTTCTCCAAAGAATGAGCTGCCTTGTGAGTTAATGAGTTCTCTATCACTAGAGGTGTTCAAGCATCAATTGGCCAACCACTTGGTGGGGATACTGTATAGAAGGGATTCATGTATAACATGGATATTTGAACTAGATTAGATAACCATTAAAGTACCATGTCAAATCAAGGAGTGGATTGATTGTTCCATGAACTTGTAAGAGCTTGGTTTATATTTAATCACAGTTTAAAGTAATAAGGCTAAGTTAAATGTAAGGAACAAGAGTGATCAGAATTAGCAGCATCTTTGCGACATTTGCTGTTCTAGGTTTTGCTTTTTGGTCAAAGAGATGATAACCAATGCTGTGGGCAGTACGGTGGAGCTGGAGGGAGAGACCGATGGGGACACCTTAGAGGTAAGTCACAGAAGACCTAGAACATGGAAAAAGTTATTTATTGTGTCTTTGATGCTTAAAGAAAATGTCTCATTTTTGTGTGTGTGAAAATTCTTGATGTGTATATTTTAAAATACTCATTTATGAATGAGCTAGCCATCACTATCCATGACTTTCAAAGATTAAGTTTAATACATCTCTATAGAAAAACCTAATTACCTTGGGATCATCTCAGCCAGAATGTTTAAGTAAAATTTGGTGTTGACTAGACTAAAATTTCCTTTTGTGCACATTCTATGGAAAAGTTTTTTCTAAGCTAATTAATAACGTTTTTGATACTACGAGAGAAACATTTGGCCAACTGGTAGCAGACTTTTTCATTTATGCGTAAAATGACTTTAGTTATATCTACTTGCATATAATATATTAAATATAGCAATTTTAATACCATTTTTTAGAAAGTAGGATCATCTTAAGCTCTTTTGAACAGTACAGTTGTAGTCCATAGTTACTACACCATTACACATATATTTAAATCTTGCACAATTATTCAGAGTTGCCAATAATTCAGGTCCTCCCAATGGTTACAATTTAATGAGATTTTACTTAACTTTCAAGTTAGACTGAAATTAATCCTTTGAGGTTTCTTTCAGAATATGTCAAAGGGATTCATTTTAATAATTGAGTCAGGTACTCAAATTCTTAGCTTAGAATCAAGGTTTGTTGTAGAAACGAACTGAGGGATGCACTTTAAAGGTAACAGATATGGGGGCAGGGAAAGGTGTGAGATAAGAGCCTTTTATGGAGCAGGCTGATGTCTGGCTAAAATCAGACAGTGATGGGGACCCATTAGTAATCTTAGTTGTATGAGCACCCCGGAAGTAGGTGGGAAGAGACACACACATGCACACACGTTCTGTGCACTTCTATGAGTAGGCATAGTGGAGCAGAGAAAACAGCAGAAAGAATCCCTTGCTGCCTCTGCTTTAAATAAGTATTGCTCAGCCTAGAATTGCATTTGTTTATCGTTGAGAAGAACCAACTGGAATGCAGCTATACAACAACTTTTTTTTTTTTTTATTGAGGTCATGTTGGCTTATAACTGTGTAAATTTCAGGTGTACATTATTATATATCAGTTTCTGTATAGACTGCATCTTGCTCACCCCCAATAGTCTAGTTTTTATCCATCACCATACATATGTGCCCCTTTACCCCTTTTGCCCTCCCCCCACCCCCTTCCCCTCTGGTAACCACCATCTGTTCTCCTTATCTGTATGTTTGTTTACTTATCTTCCACATATGAGTGAAATCATATGGTATTTTCTTTCTCTGACTTATTTCACTTAGCATAATACCCTCAGGGGCCATCCATATTGTCACAAATGGCACGATTTTGTCTTTTTTTTATGGCTGAGTAGTATTCCATTGTGTGTATGTATATATACCACATCTTCTTTATCCATTCATCCATTGATGGACACTTGGCTTGCTTCTACATCTTAGCTATTGTAAATAATGCTGTAATGAACACAGGGGTGCATAAATCTCTTTGAATTGTTGATTTCATATTCTTTGGATAAATACCCAAGATATTTGGGTAGTGGGATAGTTGGGTCATATGGTGTTTCTATTTTTAATTTTTTGAGAAATATCCATACTGTTTTCCGTAGTGGCTGCACCAGTTTGCATTCCCACCAGCAGTGTACGAGGGGTCCCTTTTCTCCACATCCTCTCCAACACTGTTGTTTCTTGTCTTGTTAATGATAGCCATTCTCATGGATGTGAGGTGATATCTCGTAGTTTTGATTTGCATTTCCCTAATAATTAGTATTGTTGTACAACAACTTTTGATGATAAGATCGGGGGAACAAAATAGCAATCCTAATTTTAGGTCCAATTCTTGCAGTATGTGTTTATTGCTAGATCCATACATCTAAAAGGAGGGAGGGGAAACCCAGCATATTTACTTGGTATTAAGACAATTTTAATTTTATTGACCTTCAGTTCTTTTCTGGGCTATAGAAGGAGGTTTGTTTCCTGACAAGTAGTTAAGGGATCGTGCAGGAGAACACCTATTGGGGGTACTTGACACGCTTAAAAACATTTTTAAATTGCAGCATTAAAGTGAGGAGAAATCTCCCAAAGGTGAGCTGGCTAAGTTACATCTGAGCCATATTTTTAAATATTTTGGATTCCATTTCATAAAATCATGTTATGAATATATGAGTAACTGAGACTTCTACCCCTCTAAAGTAATTATTTAATGAAAAGTACATAACCTAACAAATGTGACCTGCCTGGTACTCCAATAATGTTATTTATAAATGAAGAAAAATTGCGGGACAACATTTGGACTTTTTGGGGCTTCTCTACCAAAGATTGTGTGCTTTTTTATCTTGTTACTTTTCCTTCTTTAGTATGAGTATGACCATGATGTGAAGGGTGACAGAGTTGTGCTGGGGAGAGGCACGTATGGGACCGTGTATGCCGGAAGAGATCTGAGCAATCAAGTGCGAATAGCCATCAAAGAAATCCCGGAGAGAGATAGCAGGCAAGTCAGGGGCGGCCCTTCCATACCCTTCAGTTGCCACCTCCACACCCAAATCCCGTGCCCCACACTCACGGTACAGAGGACTTAAGGATGAAAGCATGTGTCAGCCAAAAATTCGTCCTTCTTTTATAGTAAGGGTCATTTGCTTTGTTCTCTGCATATTATAAATAAAGAAAATGGAACAACTTCCCTCAGAGGCATGTGGATTGCAGAGAGTCCTATTTTAAAAGAAAACTTTAGTTTTATTTCCACCCATCAACTAGGTCTAAAGTTTTACATTTTTACATAGATAGTTGTTTGCAAATATTTAAAAGTGTGACTCAGTGCTTTAATTCATATTGTAAGATTTTAAATGGCTTTTATTCAGATGTGTCATTATAGAAAATTAAATGTGGTAAAGAGAAAATTAGCTTTTTATAGTACAGACTTTTTCTATACCCTGCCCTCCAACCTCACCCGTAGATTTTGAGCTATTCCTAACTTATTTCTTCAACATTTTTTAAGAGTCTAATTAAATGTTTATTCCTTTTTAAATTCATAACCCACCTAATTCTAAACAAGAACGTTGCAGTGTTGACTGTCAAGTGTTTTTATAGAGAAGCTACATACACAGTAAGAGCCACAGCAGAAGAAACAGTAGCTCCATGCTCTCCAGGCGTGGTCAGACCACATCTGCAGCGTCGCCTTCAGTGCTGGACACTGATGGACACGTGCAAACCTCCCTCCCTCCAGGTGGCCAGTGAATTATCAGGGATGGGTTACAAGTGACATCTAGCAGCTGTAAGACCCTTCATCATTCATTCATTCACTCACTCGTTTGTTCATCCCTTCATTTTTAGTGGGATTATGTGTTATGATATTTGAATTATAAGACAGGGCCTGAAATGAACTCATCCAACTTCTTCCAAGGCTGAGGAAGATTAAATGACTTCTCCAAGGACGTGAAAAAACAAGACTAGGATCCAATCTGTTGAGTTCCTCGACCAGTATTCTGTCTCTTATTCTCATGATGCATAAGGTGTTAGAGTTGTTTTTTGGGGGAAATCACTGGCATGTCCCACCTCCTTCAGTTGGTTGCAATAGATGTTTCAGTTTTTCATTGCTGATACTTGTTCCTGGGATTTTAGAGCTAGAAGGGACTTTAGAGACTGTATTGTTCTGTTCTCTAAATTTACAGGCTGAAATGAGGATATTGGGCACCTTCTCTGTGCCAGATTCTGGACTGGCAGTGGGGACTGAAAGGTGACTGGGATACTGTCCTTATCCCAGAGTGCTCCCGGTTTGGTAGGGAATGCAGATACCTTGCCTGGGAGTCAAAGTGACAAGTGCCATGATAGACGGGTACACAGGGTGTTTGTAAAACATAGGAGATGAATGAACTACTTTTCTGGGGGGAGTTGTGGCAAGTTTGAGAAAATAAATCATCTTTGAGCTGGCCTTTGAGGGATGAGTAGGAGTTCATCTGGCAGAAAGGAGGCCAAAGCATTCTATGCTGAGAGAAGAACAGAGTTGTTAAAGCCCAGAGTGTATTCAGGAATAACAAATTGTCTGTTGTGACTTGCATGTTGGATGTGATGCAGTGGGGGGCTCTTGAGATAAGGCAAAAATTTTAAAAGATATAGTCCTTGTAGACCTGAGTTTGAAGGTCGTTGTGTGCTGTGTTAAGCAATATGGTCTTTATGTGGACTTTATGAAGAGAAGTGGTATGATGAGATGTGTGTTTAGGAAGAGGGAATATGGTGGCAGGGGAGGATAGACTAAAGAGGCCAGAGGCTGGAGCTGGGAGGTCCATTAGTTGGCTGTTGCTATAGTCTGGAGTGAGTCTATGGAATGAGACTAGAAGGCAGCTGAGGACAGAACCTTCTAGAACACCACCCTTCATGGGAGGCAGAGGAAGAGGGGCGGTGTTGAGAGAGGCAAAGGATGGTTGGAGAGTTCGGGTCCTAACCATAGCGATAGTAACAATAGCAGTCATTCACTGAGTACCTGCCACACCCCAGGCACTCCACTGGGTGCCTAAGAAACGTGCCACACTTTGGGCCCCAGCAGCCATGCGTGGCTGGTGTTAGTATGCCCTATTTTACAGATGGGAAGTTGAGTAGTCTCATGGGAGCCAAGGGAGAGAACGTTTCCAGAAGGAAGGGATGGCCAGCAGCAGGGCAGGGACTGGCAAGGTGCAGTGCAGACCCCAAGCCCCTAGGATTTGGCAGGTGATGCCGGAACTGTCTTTCCTCCTAGGTACTCGCAGCCTCTGCACGAGGAGATAGCCCTGCACAAGTACCTCAAGCACCGCAATATCGTCCAGTACCTCGGCTCTGTTTCCGAGGACGGCTACATTAAGATATTTATGGAGCAGGTGCCTGGGGGTGAGTGGTCGCTGGTCTTCTGGTCTCACACTCTGAAAATCACTGATGAAAATATAATGTGAACATCGTTATCCTTCCTGCCAGTTACAAAATGGCAGACCTTTTAGATGTGTGGGAGCATTTGTTTCTCAGGAGAGTTGGAGACAAAGTTGCCAATGTCACACAAACAGTCTATTTCTGGTTTGTTAATTCAATCATAAAATATTCATTGAGGATCTACTGAGTGCCAGCTGCTGGGCTGAGCGCTGGAGACAGAGAGATGAATAAAGCGTAGTCTCCGGCCTGGAGGCCTTCACAGTCAAGGAGATTAAAGACGGTTTGGAGAAGAGGGGACAGAGGTTTTTAAAATGACATTTCAAAATAACATGTTGACAGTGAAATCAAACACCAGTGCTTTATGCACAAAATCTCCAAATGCGGGCAGTACAGTGCAGGGGTAGGAGTTCCTCGGATCTGGAGCCAGACTGTCTAGCGTGAATTAGTCCCTCCATCTGTAAGCTGTGTGAGCTCAGGCAAATTCTTTACCTCTCTGTGCCCTCAGTTTTCTGATTGAATAAATGAATTGTAAAATTGGAGTAATAATAATTCCTATAATAATTGGAGTAATAATAATTATTGGAGTAATAATGACCCTACCTCAGTGAGTTTTTGGATGGATTAAATGAGATAATGTATGTAAAGCTCTTAAAGCAGTACCTGGCAGAGAGCTCTCAGCAAGTGCTCATTAAAAAAAAATAATAAAATTAATGATAATAATTAAGAATGATAATTATGATCTGATACAAATGTAAAAACTTTCGTTAGAAATCTGCATTCATTCATTCAACCAATAGTTATTAAGAGCCTACTATTCTATTAAGAGCCTAATTGTATATATTAAGAGTCAGGCATTGGGCTAGATTTTGAGGGTTACATTACTATAAATAAAGTACAGTTTCTTCTTCCCTCAAGTTGCTCATAGTCTAGCAGAAAATATGTTAGTTGCTGTTCATGTGAATTGATATTCTGGGCATGAGGACAACAGAGTTGGCAACAGAATTGGAGATAGATATGCGTGTGCCCTTTTACAGATGGGGAAACTGAGGCCTAGCAGGGTCTTATAGCACTGTGTAAGGGGTGCAGCTGAGACTGGCTGATGCCGAGGGCCTGCATGATGACCTCTGAAACAGGTGATCAGCATGCAGAGAAGGGAGGTTTTCTTTTGGCCCAAAGGTTCAATGTTTAATAGTATAATTGGAGGAGGGGATTGTTAAGATGGTCCTGCCCCTATGATCTGGCATTGGGGCCTCCTCACAATGAGGATGGAGAGACCCAATCTCTTCTGATCCTAGTCCCTGTCACCCTAAAGGGCCCCTCACTCTGCTCCTGTCCACTTCGGATGTCAGGGTGACGTGTGACCCAAGCTTTGACCCAAGCCATTGTGCTCTCCTCCTGACTTTGTGCAGCTGAGCAGAGCTAAACCTAAAGGTGGCCCCGCTGAATTTCAGGGGTCACAAGGGGTTCCTGTTCACCCTCCCACTCCGGTCAGGCTGACGTGCTGATTCACCTTCAGTCCCTTCCCTGGCTGTGCTGCTTGCACGTCGGGGGAACAGACGGCAAGGGAGGCGTGACGCTAGGTTTAGCCCAGATACAGTGATGCTGGCGTGAGTGCTTCCACTAGGTTAGGACCATCACCTCACTTTATTTCCCTGAACTCTTATAATGGAATCTTCGTCACCCTGACAAGTTTTCTGCTGTGTCCATTTCCAGGAAGCCTTTCTGCTCTTTTGCAATCAAAATGGGGGCCAATGAAGGAGCCCTCCATCAAGTTTTACACCAAGCAGATCCTGGAAGGCCTTAAGTATCTCCACGAAAACCAGATTGTGCACAGAGACATAAAGGTACTTGCTTGTCTGAGCCCACAAGGCTTCATTTGTGCATCTCAGATCAGGCGAGCTGCTGGCGATGTCTGCAGCTTGATCAGCTCACAGAAGGGAAACCATTGAGCATGACAGTCCCCGGAGTGCAAAGTCGAGTCTTCCTAGAGACTTGTGACCGTTTCTTAAGGTCCAGATCTGTGTCATGTTAGTTTGTTTAAATCTGTCTTTAAGCATTTGATGTTCTTCCTTTTCTAAAGGGTGATAATGTCCTGGTGAATACCTATAGCGGAGTTGTGAAAATCTCCGATTTTGGAACCTCTAAACGTCTTGCAGGAGTGAATCCATGTACAGAGACTTTTACTGGTAAGCAGAAGGGAGCTTGGTGTGGGGCGGCCACCTTGGAGTTAGGCTTGCTGGGCAAGCTGCAGTCCTTCAAGTGTTACTTACTGAGCACCTCAGCGCAGTGTGGGCAATTGATAATTGAAGTGGATGGCATATTGTCCCCAGCTTCAAATTGTTTGAACTTTGTCATAATGATGCACTTAGCCAGCTACTTGTGACAACAAGATTGCCTGTCTTCAAAGCTTGGGTAGGTGTAGTGCTCTGCTTGACGTTTTCCGAGGGTTTCTAACCAATCAGCAGAATGGTCGCCTCCCTTTGAAGTTAATAGCACATTTTTCAGAATCGTGGGTAATTCTGAATAACAGTATTCCTCAGACAACTTATTAGGACATTTGATTGGTCTATCATAAAAATAGCCTATTACTTTAGTGAATTCTGGTACCTTGTGCTTTGATATGCTTATGTTTCCAAGGGAGTCTAATTCTTCCAGGGAATATGGTGTTCTAAGTGGGTTTGAGGAATTGGATCTTCTTTTCTATATGTCAGTAATGGAATCATTTAAGTGTTGAGAGGGACTGGCTTCAAAGAGTGGTATAAAATTGCCAGCTAGCTTTCCACTTACAAGACCAAGGAGTAGAATGATGCTCAAAAGCTACCTATGGTTTTTTGAAATTCCTGCTTAAAAGCAGCTATAGTAAAAACTTTGATCCTTGGAAAGAAGTGCTGATTTTGAATAAGCAAAGGTTTATGGTCCCCTAAGGTGTAATAAAGGGATCACAAAGATTTTGCTTGATGGAATTATGAAACAGCGCTTATAATATTATAGCTCTGCCATAAGCTGTAAAAGACAGATAACTGTTGTTCTCTCTCGCTGTAGCACCAAGCTGTAGAGGGGACAGATTGGCCTTAGTTTGGGTGAATAATATCAAGCGTTGAAAGGCTTGTCTTCAACAAGAGAGTTGTTGTCTGTTGGCCACTGGACGCCCACAGTGGAGACACATTCCCTGTCTAAGATAAAGGGGGAACTTACGCATCAGAAATGACTTCTCAGTTGTAACACCGGGGGAGGTACATGCCCATTGCCCTCAAAATGGGAAAATATTATACCAGGGACTCCACCAGAATCTCCCAAAGAAAGAGTGCATTGAATTTTCATTCACTGTTTCTGATATAAATATACATATATCAACATGTATAGATGAGTATGTATGTATGTGTGACTGGCACATTTTTTTAATACCCTAATTGAAAATGACTTATATTCTCCTGTTTGGAAGCCACCAATTAGCTTAGCAATATGTAGCAAGAGGGACTCTGGTATGACAAGGAGTTATTTCAAGACCTAAAACTCCCAACAATTTATCTTGTAATTAGCATCCCCAAAGAGGGAAAAAAAAAATCACAAAACACATGTATAATTCATGTTCACATATCACATTTTCCCCAGTAATTGGCTTGAGGAAGCATGCATTTTGCATTGCAAAATAATGCAGGGGTATTTGGGGGATAATAAAGAAGGGGTCTCATTTTGGGTAGGAAATTCCCCTGCATACAATTACTCTTTGCAAGACAGAGCGGTTCTGTAAAGAAACCTCAGCTGGTTGGTGCGGAACTTGGAACTCTGATTGGGTGCGGGTAGACGTGCTGGGACTTTTCCACACAAATGCCCAGAGGCTGTTGGAGCCTGGAGGGAGAGCCAAAGGCTTCAGGCAACTTCTTGGCCCGAAGCCCTCCGCTCCTGTGTTCCTCTAAGGGTTTTCTCGGCTGTTGGCGTAAACCAACTAGAACAGGAGGAAGAGCCGTTATGGCCAGGATCAGTGGCCTTTGCTTTTGTTTTTTTTAACAGCTTTATTGAGGTATAACTTACATATCGTAAAATGCACCCATTTGAAGTGCACAATTCAGTGGTTTCTGGTAGATTTTCTGAGTCGTGCAGCCATTGCCACAATCCATTTCCATCACCCCCAAAAGGTCCCTGTGCCACTTTGCAGTCAGTCCCCATGGCCACCCCGGCCCCAGGCAACCACTCATCTACTCCCTGTTGGTATAGAAGTGCCTGCTCTGGAGATTTCAGAGAAACGCCATGATACAGTATGTGGTCCTTTGCATCTAGCTTCTTCCACTTCACATCGTCTTTTCAAGGTCCGCCCGTGCTTCAGCACGTATCAGTGCTTCGTTCCTTTTCTGGCTGAATAGTGTTCCATTATATGGATAGACCACATTTTGTTTACCCATCTACCAGTTAATGGTCATTTGGATTGTTTCCACTTTTTGGCTATTGTGAATGATACTGCTGTGAACGTTCACATACAAGCCTTTGTGTGGGTATATGTTTTCATCCCTCTTGGGTAGATACCCAGGAGTGTGAAAGGGAGGAAGACTGTCCTCTACCCACTCTGGGTCCTTTCTGGCTGGGCTACAAATTAAATTGACATGAGACCAAATAGCAGGAGAAAAATCAAACAAAGCTTTATAACGTGTATACATGGGAGAAACCAAGGAAACTGAGTTTCTTGACAAAATGGCAGAGGTTCTCTTCTTACCTAAATAGATTTAGGTAAAGACAAAGGAGGATGTTGGGGGTAGGGAAGTCAGAAAGCACAGTAATCAAGAGTATGCAGATTTAAGTCCTCTCCTTCTGTACTTATAAGAGTTTCTAGAGATAAGGTCATCCCCCCTCTTCCCAGTACAGAGAGGGAGATACCTTTACAAATGGAGATTTCCCTTACAAATATAAATGTTTGGTAAACAGAACTTTGATAAGAATGGGCTTAGCAAGGCCCCTCCCAGTCTATCCATACCCAGAGTTAAATTCATTTAGGCACTTATTGGGGGAGGTCAAGTGTCCATCAGAGAAAATAATCAAGGTAAAGAGATATATTTTGAGGTGGCCAATTTTGATCTCCCACAAGTCGAACTCGAGACAGGAACCCTGTTCTGGTCTATGGCTGTAAACATTCTTGGTTTAAATTCTGGCTCAACCATTTGCCAGCTGTGTGACCTTGGGCATGTTACTTAACCTCTCTGTGTCTCAGTTTCTTCATAAGTAAAAGAGAGATGCTCATAATACCTATTGCATAGGGTTTTTATAAGGATTCAACTGAGTTGATATTGATGAAGTGCTTTGACCAGTACCTGGCTCATAGCAAGTGCAACTGAAGTATTTGTTAAAGAAACAAAATAAATACTACTTTGCACTTAGAAGTCACAGGTTATTAGAGCTGGCAGGAGCCTTGGAGAGAATCGAGTTTATGTGCATAACTAGCATGTTGAACCTGTCGGACTCAAAAGGCGTAATCATAAAAGCCGTTTTATTTTTGTCTCCCACTGCCCTTTACAGCCTTCCCAGAGCAGTAGTCCTTTCTCATGACTTTTCCAGCCACCCTTAGATAACAAAGTGGAAATCTTAATTGGCACTTTGAGAAGCAAGCATGGTCTGTATGCAGTAATTGAAAGGGTTGGGCTAATGTACTCATCAGCACTCTGGTCCTCATTGGATGGGCAGACTTCTCTCCCTGTCCTGCTGGCCCAGGGGCAGGCAGCACAGGGGTCGGGGTGTCAGCTTTCTCCCTCCTCCCCCCGCAGCCTACTCACCAGCTGCAGGAAGGAGAGGAGAGGGGCACGGAAAGTTGTCACTTGGCTAGCACTGTTCTAAGGTGGCTTTGTGGGCTCTGGGTTTGGCTGATGGTTACTATTAACTCTTTCCTGCCAGGTCCCTCTGAATATAACTCCCGTGTCCTGGACAGGGGCCTGTCCTTTAGCGGACTGCCCCTGCCCACCCCTCCGATCTTTTACCCCTCACGGTGTATCCACCCCTCCAGCTTTTTCTCTTGAGGGATCCAGGCCCTGAAAGATTGTCTTGGGGCAGGATTCCCTTTAAAAAGACCCTAAAGCAGTATTTCTACAATGGGTCCTGCATCTGGTGTCCAAGGTTCATGCATCTTTTACCCACTGTCGAGAGGGTGTGATGATATCCCCAGACCCTATGGTCTCCTACTCTGCTGCTGTAAGCTGCATTTGTTCCCATGGGACCCAGTACACTGTGCAGCATACCTGCAGGGGACACATACATATGGAGCTCTGAGTGGGCCCAATGACAAGCCCTCAAAGGCTTTGGGTTAGGAGGAAGTGGTGCCCCCTCCCACCAGGCCCATCCCTTGGTCTGGGCAACTGGGGTGGCCCCTGGAGCCATAGAAGGCTGCACCTTACTTCTCTTTTCTCAACTTCATCAATATTAAATTGTGAAACTTTGGGCTCTAACACTATCTTGGGGGGCCCATGGAAGGTGCTAACACATGCAGCCTTCTTTCAAGTATGATTGTCCTGAGGGAGGGTAGACCCCTCAGCACAGCTCTCTCTAGAGAAGTTGTTTTCAAGCCCACCCCCAGTCTCTACTCTCTGAACCTTTTTAACCCCTTGATCTGGGCGGGAAGCCTCTGTGAGTTGTGTAACCAGTTGTCTGAGACCCCCTTAGAACTGTGCACCTGTGGTCCCGCTCTCACCCCTTGCCTTGGTATCTGGATCATATCTTGGCACCTCAGTCAAAACTTCTAAATTACTGTCCTCTGCTGTGGGTTTTCTTTGCTGGTAATTGGAAAATCCTGCTTGGGCAATTGTCCAGGAGCCTCCAGTGGATTTCATGTCCCAAGGAGGCTGAGGCAATGCCTGTGGGTCTCCTGATCACCTTGTTCTGAACTCTGCACCACTGCACTGGTGTAGGTACCTGAGAGTGTGGCTGGCTGGCTGATGGAGTGACCAGTATGGTGGGCATACCTTGGAGGAAATGCAGTTTAGGGAGGATATGAAACCCTTAAGAGAGCTAGATTTAAGGCAAGCAAACTTTCCAGGATTTCTGCATTATTCAGATGCACCCCCATGGCGTCTTCACTTGGTTTTCTCGACAGAAGCCAGCCTTTGGTACAGCTGATGCACACCCACAACATGCACCCCACCTGGGACAGTCCCTTGACTATTTGAAATAATCGCGTGGATCCCATCTCTCTCTGTTGGCTGTTCCCTGTGCGTGGATGGTTTCCTATGAATACGGTAGTAAATAAAATGGAGCCCCCAGTTTTCCGTCATTGCTCTACGCCTTCCAGTCGTGTGGAAACAAGTCACATTATGGCTTTGAAAATCCTTGCATCAGCTGCTCTTATTCAGGCAGCGTTTTCTTCAGTGGTGCTTCCCTGGATTTGTTACATAGATCAGCGATGTCATGGTGTGTAGCTCCAAATTTGGAGACAGGAGACCTGAGTTCTAGCTTGAGCAAATCCCCTAGCTTTTCTGAGCCTCAGTTTCCTCGTGTATAAAATGGGAATAACAGTAGATAGTGCCTTCTCTGCCCGCCCTTACGGAGTTGTGAGATTCAGGTGGACAACGCTACATGGAGACGCTTTGTAAGCCATTGAGTGCTAATTGAAAGTCAGACATTGTGGCCAGCAGCCTCCAAGATGGCCCCCAGTGATCCCCACCTCCTGGTATGCACAGCCTGGTGTAATCCTCCCCCCATTGAATGCTGGCTGGACTTAGTGACTCGCTTCTAATGACTAGATTAAGGCAGAGTGGTGGTGTGTGACCTGGAGACTAGGTCAGAAAGGGCAGTGTGGCATCCCTCTTGCCTCCTTTCTTTGGATCACTCGCTCTGGGGGAAACCGTGTCTTGAGCAGCCCTATGGAGGATCCCACATGGTGAGAAACTGAAGCCTCTTCCCAATGCCCACATGAGCTTAGAAGTGGATCCTCCAGCCCCAGTCTAGCTTTCAGCTGCAGCCTAATGAGAGACCCTGGGCCAAATCCACCCGGCCCAGCTCTTCCTGGATTCTGACGCTTGTGAGATCATATCTGTTATTTTAAGCTGCTAACATTTGGAGTAATTTATTACATAGCAATAAATAACTAATACGGATGTCACTAAGTCCCTACCTTTAGATAGGGTGATATTCACTATGGTTCCATATAAAGAAAATCTCCAAATTGAGCGTTAGGCAGACTTATCCTCCAATTATGAACAATTGTACTAAGGTGGACAGTTATTCGACCAGGGTCATTAAGCCGTTGCAATTTGGTTCAGTACTATTTTCTACTGTTGCATAACTTTGTAACAGTTTATTCCTGTGTTCTTGTAAGAATTAGCTTTTAGTGATTGTGTTCGTCAGGATCCAGGTAGGAAAATCGAAATCACCCCAGTTATTTTTACAGAGAAAATGTAATAGGAAGAACTGGTTCCTGGGACTGAGTTATCAGAAAGCAGCCTACATCCCTAGGGCTTGGGGCAGCACAGGGGAGGGTAGGATTTGAGCCTTTCAGGAGGGGATGCTGTGCCACTGGGCTGGAGCAGGCAACTCTGGGGGGGCAAGATGAAGCTGATTCTGGAAATATGGAGGGTGGGACAAAAAAGCTAGAAACTGGGGGCCGGCCTGGTGGCGCAGTGGTTAAGTGTGCACACTCCGCTTCGGCAGCCCGGGGTTCGCAGGTTCGGATCCTGGTGCACACCGACGCACCGCTTGTCAAGCCATGCTGTGGTGGCGTCCCATGTAAAGTAGAGGAAGATGGACATGGATGTTAGCCTGGGCCCAATCTTCCTCAGCAAAAAAAAAAAAAAAAACCTAGAAACTGGAGTTGAGCACTGCTACTAGAACCAACTGAGGGTCCAAAGTGAAGCTTGCTCAGAGAAACAGCAAGCAAACTGGGAGGAACAAGTAACCTCTCCTTCCTCTTTCCTTCCAGGCTTGCTCACTTGCTCTCTCTAGCGCTGCCTAGTGGCAGAGCCTAACGGGGAGCAGCAAGCAAAGCAGAAATGTGGTCTGCAGAGTCCCAGACCGTGTCATAGCAGCGCTGAGGGATAATAGCTTAATAAACAGCACCATGTCATCTTTCCTTAATTAATGAATTATAGATTAGTTAGAAGGTACATTCCCTGCCAAGGCCTCTCCTTCTATTATTCGCAGCGGTAGGAACCTGGAGGGGATATTGCGTCACTGGAAGTTCCCTTCCTGCAGCTCTGGGATTTCCTAACAATGCAGCAAGTGCTGTGAGCCTCCATCTTGCCCAACCCTGCAGCCAACTGAACACTTTCCCGCCGGGCTTTCAGCCCCAGAGACCAAAGCTGTCATTTCTGCCCCACTGATCTGTCATGTTTACTGATCCAACCTGATTTATATTAAACTTTAAATTAGTAAGAATTAAATAAAATTGAAAATTTTTTAAATTAAAATTCATTTCTACAGTCTCACCAGCCACATTTTAAGAGCTCAACAGTTGTATGTGTCTAGTGGCTACCATATTGAACTGCACAGAATAGAACATTTCCATTATTGCAGAACATTCTATTGGTCAGAGCTGTCCTAAAGCCTTTCAAATGCTCATAGGAAGGAAAACTGGTAGTAAGACATTGGATCTTCAAGAGGAGGATGTAGTAGGTAGCTTCTTGAAACGTTTTTTTTTTAACCAATGAGCCCTTTGTTTTCATTGCTCAAGACTCAGGAAACCCACTTTGGTTGCATGATCTTGAGATAAGCACTTGAATTTGTCTGGGCATCACTGTTCTCTATTCACGCCTTGGCCAATGTCATCTCTGAGTTCACTGTTTATTATAAACCTCTTCACCAGCACACAGCACCTGCTGCTCTTGCTTCCACATTTCCGCTTTCTTCAGGCTTGGTTTCAAGGAAAACCAAAGACTTGACTCCCAGAGCTCTTTTTTTTTTAAAATTTTTATTTATTTATTTTTTCCCCCAAAGCCCCAGTAGATGGTTGTATGTCATAGCTGCACATCCTTCTAGTTGCTGTATGTGGGACGCGGCCTCAGCATGGCCGGAGAAGTGGTGCGTCGGTGCACGCCCGGGATCCGAACCCGGGCCACCAGCAGCGGAGCACAAGCACTTAACCGCTAAGCCACTGGGCCAGCCATTCCCAGAGCTCTTGACAGCCCTCCCTGCCCCGTCTCTCCAGCAATCCTTCAACATCTCTTCTCCTCCCAGTGCTATATCTGATCACCACCTTCCCTGTGGCAGCCTCTGGTGGCTCATGACCCACAGGAGAAAGCACAAAGTCAGAGCCTTTGGAACACACAGTTTGCTGTTTGGGCTGCACCCTGGCCACTGCCTCCTTAATTTTTAATTCTTAATTCCCTGCCCTGTGTCAAATCACTTGTGCTTCCCTGAACTCACTCTGTACTTCACACCCATGGGCCTTTGCTCAAGCTCTTCCCCTTGCCTGGAAGTCCTCCCATCCCTTTGTCCACCTCTTCGACCTTTGAGGCAGGAGTCTAGTTCACTGGCAGCCCCATCTGCCGCCCCTTTGGATCTGCCTCCACGTTCATAGCAAGGTCATGCTTTACCACACCTGTTCCCAGCCAATGACTGAGTATGGTGGAGGTACTAGAACCAATATGGGACTCTTCCAATGGGCAACTTGGGTCCAGGGACTACCCAGTGGCCTGACTAAAGCTGTCTCACAGCTTTTCTGCCATCTGAGACTCTTCCTACCCAATTCTGCCTTCCTCCTCTTTCCCAGGTGTCAGACCTGCATTGCAGTCTGACAGCTCTCCCTGCCCATCCTGCTCCCTCCCCCTTTCTCCTTCATACACTTCTCTAGTAAATCTCTCATATGTCTAATCCTGTCTTGGCATTTACTTCTCAGAGACCCAAATTGACACAGCTATAGCTTTCCCTGACTCGAACCAGGCAGAATCAAGCACTTTTCCATCCATGTTCTCAGAGCCCTCTGTGTACAACTCTGTTATAGCCCTTTCTACATTTTACTGTCGCCGCCACCACCACCACCACCATCATCATCATCATCATCATCATCATCGTCATCATGTCTGTCTCCTCCACTAGGCAGCTCCTAAAGGTCAGACACTGTGTTTCTTGCATTCTGGTTTCCCTGTATCTAGTGTGCGCTAATATGTGCTGATTGAATTGAATTGGGCTCATTTATCCTTCAAGGGGCTGAGCAATCCTTTCTCAGCATGACTAGTATTAAAGGAAGGCATGTTGCATGTCTCTGGTCAAAGAAAAGATGCAACCATACTATTTATGCATGAAACCAGGCTCCATCTGTCATTAATGAGAGCGTTAAAGTTCACGTGTTTGTTTACTAATGGTCCACTTAGATTTTAAGCAATATGGTGTCCACGATCTTTATTTTTTTTTCCAATAGGCACTCTGCAGTACATGGCACCTGAGATTATTGATCAAGGACCTCGCGGGTATGGTGCCCCAGCTGACATCTGGTCCCTGGGCTGTACCATCATTGAGATGGCCACCAGCAGGCCACCATTCCATGAGCTCGGCGAACCGCAGGCAGCAATGTTTAAAGTAAGACATGTTTGCTGATTTAGGTTGCTGGTGTTGGGGAGATATAAGGAAAAACAAAATCTTCTCCCAGTCCAGAAATCTCTCCACTATCCAAAGATGGAAGAGAAAGAAAACAGTTTTATTATTGAATAAGCATTACATCAGAACGTGATGCCCGTCATAGGCAGTCTGCTAAGAGGTTGCAAAGACAGAAAGAACTCGCCTCCTTTTATCGAGCCAAGCAGTACAACCCTTTCCATCCATGTTCTCAAGGGAAACACTAGCTAGTCCTCAGGTGCGTGGACTGGACAGCACCATTGGTCACAATGGTTCATCCACGGTTCACCTGGTAATTGGGGCCACCATTTGCGTTAGCTAGTTAGCTTTACCGCCCCCCCCTGCCCCCCAAATAAACTTCTCAAATCTTTAAGACAGGAGGTAGTTTTGGAGCGAGGCACCGCTGAACTTAGGCCTGTACCCTCCCGCAGAAATGGAGATAGGGGCCGGGGGCGCTCTTCCTTGATGACATTTCAAAGAGGTGGCCCCCAGGTCCTTGAGAAAGAGTTCCTGGCAAGAGGCTTATTTAGCTTTTGAAAAGATTTACATACATCTCAAGGGGACAGAAAACTTACATGTTTTCTAAAGTGAATGCTCTAAGAAAGGAGACGTCTGTTCCCTTATTTTCAACAGAGGGAACTGAGCCTCTGTATTTTGAATCTCTATCTGCCCTTACCCTGGGTAAGGTGCAAAGGCCACGGGGGGGCTGTGTCTTTGGAGGGCAGGTCTCTGATTGGGTTTGGAGAGGTGGTACTTTGGGTATCAGATAATGTTTCCTTTGTCAATCTACAAACCTTCGCAGAGATAACGGAAAGGGCACCCAGTGTGTTGAGGCTCACATAGAAGCGATTGATGACTGTGGGTGGGGGTTCACTGCTGGGCACGTTCCCTTGGGAAGGAATATGCTTGCTCGTGACCTCACGGGAAGCTGATGCCAGGACAGCCCTGGGTGCCCAAGGTCAGGTCTGTGGCTTCTGGCTCTGTGGGAGCTGGGAAAAATTTAAGAGGGGCTGTAGCCCTGAGTCCATTACCAGCAGTGACCTTCCATGGGGCATTTTTGTTCACCCCAAGACTAAGAAGGAAGAGAGTGGGGTTGCAAAAGGCCAAGTGGCCACTGCTTATGGACAGCGAGGTCACAGTGCATCGAAGCAGCCTGATGGAACATGATTCCAGAGGCCTTTCTTCCTGCTTCTCTGCCAGGCGTTGGGGCCTCTCAGCCTGTCTACCCCGCAGCCTCGCCGCCTGCGTCTTTGCCAGGCCCTCCAGCTCAGCCTCTTCGGCAGAAAGGACTCAAAGGCACAAGTGCAGGTTTCTGCCCATGAGCTGCGTGCAGCCCACTCAGTGGGCTCTCAGTGCTGGGGGTGCCTTGGCTGCTCCCCCCAGCCGGGCCCCTGCAGAATGTTCTCAGAGCTTCCCACCCTCCCAGCAGCTGGCAGGCAGCTCCAAAGGCAAGACCTCAAGTTGAGAAGTTGTCTTCTGGCACCTGCAATCCCAACAAGACCCTGAACACCGAGCCTGGAGAACAGCAGTGACCTTCCCTCGCCCTTTGATGACTACCCATGATGGAGCCCCCTGAGGGCCATTGAAGGTCTTCCCTGCAGCTTCAGTCACAGCCTCGGAAACAGTACTAGCTGGGGCTGAGAAGAGCACCGGGGCCCACTGGAGAGCCATGGCTGTCTGCTTTCTGATCAGCTGCCAGCTTCCTGCACCCTCAGGAAACCTGTCTGAAGGCTGTGACTTGCTCAGTTCATCCACAGGGCCCGAGCGACTCCCCTCACCCTCTCCCTTCCTCCTGTTTCTGGTTAGCTAATTTGCTATACAAATTCTTTGAAAATATATTGAGCTTTTTGGATGGCATGTAAAGTCAATTTTTATTGCAAACTAGAAAGCTATTATTAAATAAATAACGTCCCCCGTGTTCTCTTTGCAAAGACTGTAGAAATTATTTCTGGGATCTCTAGAATCCTTCAGAAAAATTTTAAGAAACTTCTGGGCAGTGTCTGAAACAAGACGAACTGTGTTTCCCCCAAAGGGACTCTTATGGGTTTGTGTCCCCTAAAAAAAGATATCTTGAAGTCCTGATCACTAGTACCTCAGAATGTGACGTTATTTGGAAATAGGGTCTTTACAGAGATAATCAAGTTAAGATGGGATCAATAGGGTGGGCCCTAATCCAGTATGACTGGTGTCCTTATAAAAAGGAGAAATTTGGACACAGAGAGAAGACAATGTGAAAAGACACAAGGAGAATGCTGTGTGAAGGCAGAAATTGGAGTGATGCATCTACAAGCCAACACCAAAGATTGCTGGCAACCACCAGAAGCTAGGAAGAGGCAAGGAAGGACTTCCCTACAGGTTTCAGAGAGAGCATGGCCCTGCTGCTGCCTTTATTTTGGGCTTCCAGCCTCCACAACTGTGAGAGAATAAATTTCCCTTGTTTTAAGCCACCCAGTTTGTGGTCTTTGTTACAGCAGCCCTGGGAAACTAATACAGGGACCTTTTGAGTAATAGCGAAGCACTCTTAAAAGTAATGTGCTTGCAGGATGCCGGAGTGCCAGGGGAGAAGCCACCCTTTCCTCTTTGAGTTCTTGTCCTGAATTTTTGTCTCTGGCTCCCCTAGTGCCCTTATCTCCCCACCCTCAGGTGAGGGGTGCCACCTGCCATGTGCGGAGCATTTCAGATCTTGGGGGTTGAATTCCATCCAGCTTTTAGTGTTCTCAAAATCCCAAACTCATTTTTTTAAATTTTATTTTATTGTGGTAAGAACACTTAACGTGAGATCTACCCTCTTAATAAATTTTTAAATGCATAATACAGTCTTGTTGGCTTTAGGCACGATGTTGTACGGCAGATCTCTAGAACTTATTCATCTTGTTTACCTGAAACCTTATGCCCATCGAGTAGTAACCCCTCATTTGCCCCTCCCCCCAATCCAAAACTCTCGAGCTGTCATCCTGCCCATGAGGAGCAGCGTGTCAGAAATGGTAAGCGCACCCCAGGTCAAAGGACTTTGGGATGTGAAGTCGAAGGCTTGCAGTTTGCTCTCTGCAGCACCCAGATCTTGCTTAGGTGGGTAAGGAAGGCCACGCCAGCCCCCAGGGTTGCTGAGGAGCTAGGAACAGGGTGGATCTGGAGGACAGAATGGCTTCCACCCTTGGTTTATTAGGTGGGCTCGGAAAAGACACAGAGAAGACTGCAAACTTGAAGACAACAACTCCTAAGAAGAATAGAGTGCCATCTCCATGGGAACAGTTATGCAGGAGGAGGTTATGCAAGATGGACGAGCAGGACTTGTGGAAGCATTCTCATCTCACGGTGAGATGTGACAGCTCAGCCCCACCTCCTGCTCCCCTATGTTCGACATTTTGGAGTTTTTGTTCTCATAATCCTTGATGGGGGACCGTGTTGGCCCCATGCTTCTTGATGGGGTTTTTGATCTGGTTCCACTGCTCCCTCGTGGTGGTGGTGGTGTCCTCGGAGGCCAAGGTCACAGGGACAGAGAGCCTTTAGCAGAACTGTAATGAGCTGGCCAGAAGTGGGAGCTGGAGCAGAAATTGTAGCATGAGCCCACACAGGAAAGGGCAGTGCCCCCTTCCTCGGCAGGTTTTACCCCACAGGGATGAGGGCATGGGCCGTGAGGTACCAGCTTCCAGGTTTGGTCTGCATGAGATTTATAGCTGGAGGTGGAGGATTTGGGCTGTGACTGCACAGAGACTGAGAGATGTGTGTAGCATCTTTTGGGGACCCTGTGTATCAGAGAACAGGTCACAGATGCCTTTGGACACCCTCAGTTAGAGCATCCTGCTGCAGAACCATCTCAGTTATCTTCTGCTGCATAACAAACCACCCCAAAACATTAGAGGCTTAAAATAATCACTTTTTATTTCTCCCAGTTCTGTGGGCTGACCATTGGCTCTTCTGCTGGTCTTGCCGGGGCTCACTTGTGTCGCTGCATCCAAGTGGCGTCTTGGCTGGGGCAGGATGCTCATGGAGGGCTTCTCCCATGTGGCTCTTCATCCTTGGCAACCTCCCTGCATGGTGGTCTCAGGGCTCCCAAGAGGACTAGAGCAGAAGCCAAAGGCACCTTAAGGCCTATGCTCTGAAGCACTTCCCCCACAACCTATTGGGAAAAGCAAGGTCCCAAGAGGCCAGCGGCGGTGGTTGGGTGGGGGCATGGACACAGGTGTGAGTCATCAAGGCTGCTCTTACAATCCATCACCAGCCCCTCAGGATGGCAGGTGTAGGAGCTTTGTAGTGAAGGCATGTACACCTGGATTCACCCAAGGCCTCACCGTCACATCTGTCGCCTCTCCTTCAAATGCAGGTGGGGATGTTTAAGATCCACCCTGAAATTCCAGAAGCCCTATCAGCTGAAGCCAGAGCCTTCATTTTATCCTGCTTTGAGCCTGACCCCCAAAAACGTGTCACCGCCACTGACCTGCTCAAAGAGGGCTTCTTAAGGCAGGTGAACAAGGGCAAGAAGAACCGAATTGCTTTCAAGCCGTCAGGTGAGGCCTACCTGGACAGCGGGGGTGCTGTCCTGGGCCCCCGGCTTCTCTGTTGCTCAGAGAGAGTGCCAGCTCTCCGGACTGCTGAGCTTCCCACCTGGCACCTGTTTTTGTGAAGAGTGGCAGGGATTGGTGCAGTAGGTGTAGGGGTTGTTAAAACTCAACTAATGGATGTCCCTTGATTTCCTGACAGAGGCACAGGAGCCTCACGGGTAACTGTGATGCCCTCCCTCCCCCCGCCCTGTGAAAGTCTTTCCTTTGGGATTGTGCCAAGGAGGGAGGCGAGAGGTGCCCTGGCTGGGGTTTTGTGTCTTCCCCACATGCAGGGCCTGGCCTGTCCCCCTGTGCTGTTCCTGACCTTGATTAAAGGGCATGTCAGAGGAGTTAGCCTGTGGTGGCTGTCCTGCAGGCCACTGAAGCCAAGCGAGCCCTTCTAGGGCAGTAAGTCTTACCCAGCAATGACGTAAGAGTGGCCCCGGAAAAGCCGTTAGTTCTCTTTGCCTTGGCGTGGATGGGGCCTGAAGGCAGGACAGAGCTGCTCAGCATCTGGCTCCCAGATTGGACTACCTGCCTCAGCATTTCGTGCTGGCTGGTTAGAAATGCAGAGTCTCAGGCCCATCCCAGACTTGCTGCAGCAGAAGCTACATTTCACCACAATCCCTGGGTGTTCGTGTGCACCACTTAGAGCAGCACCAGTTAGAGCAGCACAGGCTTTAGCAAGCGCCTGTGTGCGCCACCTGGCCGGAGGGGTTGCCGAGGCTCAGCTTCCCACCCGCCCTCTCCGCAGCATCCTCCTTCTCTAAACCTCCCTCCTCCTGTCTGCCCCCACACAGAGGTGGCCCGGGGTGCCGCCCTGGCCCTGCCCACGTTAGGGGAGCCCATGGGCAACAGCAGTGAGCATGGCCCTGTCTCTCCCGAGTCTGACGCCCAGTCCGACGTGTTCTTCGAGAAGGCCCGGGCGCCCAAGCACCAGCTCAGCCACCTGCTCAGGTATGGCCCGCCCCATCCACCCACTCTGGGCCTGCAAGGGGCGCTTGTGTTCCCAGGGAGCAAAATACCTCCCGGGTCAAAACCAGATGGCCGAGTAGGTCTTTTGCTTCCTTTCTGCATGGTCAGTAGCGAGGCCAACAGTGCCAGCAAGGAGGGCAGTGTGTTCACTCGCTGTCCCTCCCCCCTCCGTCCCTTCCCCATCTCCCATCCTCTCCTCTTCTTCCTCTCGTCCCCCTTTTCTCTCCCTCTCTCAACACTGGTGCTGTGGGGGTTCGAAGGAATACTGCATCTCTTCCATCTGCCCACTTCTTGCAATTTCATCTTCCTGAGGTGGGCACTGCGGAGGATTCACCTCTGAGCCCCTCCCCCACGGTGTCCTAGCCTGGAGACTTTTCTCTGGGACGCACAGGGATTGTCCGTGTTTGTCTGCAGTGTTCCGGATGAGAGCTCGGTCTTGGAAGACCGGAGCGCAGCCTCGTCCCCAGAGGACAGGGACCCGGGTCTCTTCTTGCTGCGTAAGGACAGCGAGTGCCGCGCCATCCTGTACAGAATCCTCTGGGAGGAGCAGAACCAGGTGGCCTCCAACCTGCAGGAGTGCGTGGCCCAGGTACACGCGGAGTAGGGGGGCGGAGGACGTTTGCTAATCCTCTCCCCTCTGCCCGCGTCTGGGTCCCAGAACAGGTCCAAACGGGGACCGAGGTTCCTGCTACCATGGAACATTTGCACAATTACAATAATCACCATAAGTATTTCCCAGCGTCCTTCCCTCCTCCAACAAAACAAAAGAAAATACAAAGAAAAAAAAAACTCCCCTGAAACCAATTTGGGGAACACTGCAGTGAATCCACGCATTGATGTGGCGGTGCTGCCTCCTGGTGGAAACACGCCAAATGGCAGCACAAAGCCCAGGAGCTCGCAGCATTTGCCCTGCTCTCTCGTTATCCCCCTTTTGAGCCCTGGAGCTGAGTTGACTCTCAGCTGTAGGACACACTAGAGTTGCCTCAGAAGCTGGGAAAACAGCCACTTTAGAGAGAAAGGTTATGGCTGAAAATATTTGAGTTTTAACTTATTTTGGATGGTGGAAGGTCCTTTTAGGAAGAGGCTCCTGCCCCACTATGAACTATGCCTTCTGACAAGGCCCATTCAAGGCAGGCCTTACAAGGGGTTACAGGAAGGCGGAACCATTTCTAGAGGGGCTTAGTTGTGTGTGTGCCCCAGCCAGGGAGGAGAGGGGCCCACCTAACCCTCTAACAGGAAAGATGGAGGGAATTCTGGGAACAGAGACCCCTTCTCAGCCGGAAAGTCCACAATTGCATTAGCGAATGGATTAATGGACAAGCTGGTTAATCCAGTTTCCCCACAATACTTCTTGAATTTTCCTTCCCTCTCACTCAAAGTGATTTTTTTTTTTTTTTTGGTGGTCAGAGTTCGGAAGAGATGCATCTCTCAGTCACCCACATCAAGCAAATAATTGGGATCCTGAGGGACTTCATCCGCTCCCCAGAGCCCAGGGTGATGGCATCCATGATATCAAAACTAAAGGTGGATCTGGACTTTGACAGCTCATCCATCAATCAGATTCACCTGGCACTGTTTGGATTTCAGGATGCTGTAAGTGCTCCATCTGGCCCTATAGAACATTCCAGAAGGCAGGAAGCCCACTGAAGTGGCTCATAGCCAAGACAATGGAGCTTGATTACCATCTTCTCCCATAGTCCCCATCTCTTCTCACCTGTTTACACCTCAATCCCGAGTGTCAGCAGTTTTCTAAACACTGAATATGCAAGTACAGGTGAATGGGCCGATTGCATTTGGCCACAAAGAGCAGAAGTGTAGCCTTTGGGAACAAGTGGCATCTGCCAGCTGAGTAGGCATGAGGTTTAAGCTTATGTGTCTGCCCAAACAGAAGTGAGCCACTCCAGGCCCAAGACCATGTCTGGTTCATCTTTGTGTCCCAAGCCCCTAACACAGAGCCTGAGGTCTCATAGGTGCTCAATAAACGCTCACTGAATAAACAACAAAGAGGCCCAGTGAGGTAGATCCGATCACTGTACCCATCCCCTAGACCCCAGCATGACTTAGGGTCAGCTTGGAGAAAGACTCAGTCCAGAAGAAACTTAAGTCGAGTAGAAATCCTGGTTAACACTTCATCTCAGAGTAGAAGCAAATTAGAATTAGTAAGAACTCATATTTCTTAAAAGTAAAATGGAGGGGCTGGCCCCGTGTCTTAGCAGTTAAGTGCGCGTGCTCCGCTACTGGTGGCCTGGGGTTCGGATCCTGGGCGCGCACCGACGCACTGCTTGTCCAGCCATGCTGAGGCGGCGTCCCACATACAGCAACTAGGAGGATGTGCAGCTATGACATACACCTATCTACTGGGGCTTTGGGGAGAAAAAGGGGAAAAAAAGGAGGAGCCTGGGCAATAGATGTTAGCTCAGGGCTGATCCCCCCCCCCCAAAAAAAAAGTACAATGGACCAGAAATCTGTATTTTTGTGATTTGTAGGTAAATAAAATTTTGAGGAACCATCTAATTAAGCCCCACTGGATGTTTGCGATGGATAACATCATCCGTCGAGCGGTGCAGGCCGCAGTCACCATTCTCATGCCAGGTAAGTGCCTTCTTTTTGGTTAAGGTCGTGGAAAAGATCAGAAACATGCTCTACATTCAGTTGTTACTTTCTCTTTTCCATCTTGGCTATAAACTTCCCTGCAATTAAGTAACACTGTCACAGACCCCTTCCCGGGCTAAAATCCTGTGATTCTAAGAACTTCTCCTCGAGCTGTATTTACGTGCCCCCGTGGGCATAACCGAGGAGCCTGCATGTAGACTTAAAGTCGTGATCTAAACAGGGAAGTTTGAGCCTGAGGGCCAGGATCCTACAGTGCGTGCTCTTGTGCACTCAGGAACGTCTACCGGTGGGTTGATGATTTAATGATTAGGTCTCCTCTCAAAATCATCATGTGGTAGCTGTAGAAATCTTTGGTTTTTGTAAACTCTATTTTTGAAATGTTAGAGCAGCTTAATACCCAAGTTGATTCTTCTTCTGTGGTGACTTCTTCCTATGAAGGGAGGCTTTGCAACGCTTCCGTTGACATTGCCACTTCCTCTCTTGACTTTGCTCCCTCCCTGTCATCTGCCTGCTCCCCTGAATGTACTTTGAGCCCAGAACCCAGGCTCAGCTTCTGGGAGAGGCTTGTTAAACCCCAGGACTTCATGACTCCCTCCTCCAAGCAGGCAACTTGCAGTAGTAAAAGATCACAGGCCTGGGTGGAAGCCTAGTTGTACCTTTTTAAATCTGGCCTTGGCTAACTAACTTAACATCTTTAAGCCCCCGTTTCCTCATCTGTAAACTGGAGGTGGTCATCTTTTCACTGCAGAGAGCTGAGTGCAATAGTCTCCTCTCCATTTATGAAGTCAGCAGTCCCCTGACAGAGCGTTTCATTGGCCGGGCCAGCCTCCGAACAGCCTCGTTGGCTGGCACAGGACATAAGCTACACCAAGCCCTGGCCTTGTTGAACCATGATCCTTTCTTCTATGATTTCGCAGAGCTCCGAGCCCACTTTGAGCCTGCCTCAGAGACCGAAGGGGTGGATAAGGACACGGATGAGGTGGAAGAGGACTATGCCCCAGCAGAGCCGCCCGGAAGTGAAGTGCAGGTAGCATATGGAGGGAGCAGACCCGCTTCAGTGGTTGTCCAGGAGGCCCAGCCCCAGCAGCTCCACCAGCAGCATCTGAGCCTGCAGCTAGGGAAACTGAGGCAGGAGACCAACAGGTGAGCAGAGGTGGGACAACGACCTGGACCAGCAAGGCAATCGGTTTAGTTGCTGAGTGCCTCACTCAGGTCTCGGAAAAGCATCTTCACCACCAAGGAACTGGGCAAGGGGTTACAGTCAGCTTCAACCGGGGGACTAGAAGAATGCCTCCCTCTCTTTAATATTAGGAATCAGAGAGGTATAGTGCCTTGCCAGAGGCCACACAGAAACCAGCCAGGCTAAAGGCAGCAGCATCTCGGAGTTCTTTCTCTGCGTCTCTTCGCCAAGATGGGGCCCCTGGCATGGCGTGTGGGTCCAGCAGGCTGAGCAGTGGACGTCTGCAGCCCGCCCCTACAGAACTAGCTGAGCTGGGGGTTGGTTAGCACTTCGTCGGTGGGTGTGTATCCCATAACCCTGACCCCCAGGAAGTTTGCCCTCTCCCCTTTGAATCTCTTCCTTGCATTTGTGGACTGCCTTCCCAGCCAGGAGACCCTGGCACTGCCATGAGGGTCCCCTAAGAGCACTGGTCTGTTTTGTTCACTTCCTGGCACACGGTAGGTGCTCAAAACATATTTGGTAAATGAATAAAATGATTCCCATTTGCTCTGGGGAATCACATTATCAATAGTCTTATAAAAAATATGACTCACAGCTATAGTAAACTAGTTGGTACTGGTTCCAAATGATGCCTTGTTGCCATATGATCATTGGTAATGCAGATTAATATTTAACAAGGGGAGATAAGGTGCCAGGTGGACATATTTTGGATGAAAAGTTGTATACACCCCTAGGGATCTCTGAAGTTTAGTCTTAGGCAGATCTAATCATTTCTTTTTAGAAAGACCTGGAGTCTTAATTAACCAGTAATGGTGGCAAAAATCTTGAAGTTTTTAAAATATGACAAATGTGAAAGTTGATAGTAATACTTAGCATTTCTTTAAAATGTGTTTCTGGTAAGGTTTATAATCACCAAATTCATAAAATGTTATATATGAGTTCAAAGGTTATTCCTCTCCACTGTTGATAGTCATTCTGTTATCTTCCACTCTCACTAAAACTAGTAATTAAATGGCAGCCAGCACCCAGCTGCAAATGGCTGACAGACATGCGGTTGCCACATGCGCGCCTGTCCTTGTGGTATGGAGATGCCTTAGCTGTTGCTGGGCAGAGCCAAAGGAGGATGGCACCTACTGCCCAGAGTGATGTTGACTGGGGTAACTGGTCTGTCCTGCTGAGTGCCAGTCCCAAGAGCCCTTTCCGACAAACTCAGTTGGAGCTGGTTCGAGTGGGTCCCCTGATCTGGGTGAGCACACATGAGTGCTGTAGTTGAAGTGGCTAGAATCATTTCCCTCGCTGGCGTGAGAGGACTTGTTGCGTCCAGGATAAAGGCAGGCAGAGGTGGTGGGGGAAGGATTTGCATGTTGAGCACCAGTGTTTCTTTGCTGTCCCCGTTGAGGGCAGAAGTGACCACCTCTCCCCATCCCATCTTGCCACCAAATTACCCAGGAGTGCCCCTGTTCTCATACTTGCTGCCCTGTTCTGCAATATCTGTGTACATATTGTTGCAGGGTGACTTCTGAGGGCAACTTCAATAATCAACTTCAGTAATGTAAATAAAGCTTAGTTCCATATTCCCTAGTTCACCAGCATGGATCATAGAAATTAATTAAAAGAACAAGCAGTTAGAAACAAAGGAATCCCACATACTAGGTACATGAGCAAAGAGAAAAGCTAGTAAAGGCTCCAGTCTGCCAGTCCCTTCCCCTCCTGCAGGCGTGCTCCACGAGCTGGTACCCGGAGCAGGGGGGACTCCGATGTTTGAGGCTTGCCTGTGCCAAGCCCTGTCTTGTCCGGGGGAGGACTGTAGACAAGATTGGGAGTCAGGAGACTGCCCTGATGGGAAGAACCCAGCCTGTGTGACTCTAAGCAAATTACTTAACTTCTGTGTGCCTCGGTTATCTCAGCTATAAAAGTAGGCTTAAAAAAAATGGTGCTTGCTTCCTCAAAGTGCTGTAAGGGTTAAAGGACTCAATTCCTGTGAGGCATTTAGCAGTCCTGGCTTCCGTAAATGTTGGCAGTCATATTCCTCCCACCTTCAGAGCAGTGCACCTCTCTCTGTTCTATCAGGAGCAGGGCTTCTGTCTCCTCGGCTTAGTCCCATGAGGAGGAAAGAGCCTGACCACTATTTTCAGCAATTTGATCTGACTTAGGGAGACAGGTTGAAAGGATCAGATCATCCGTCTGGCTAAGTTACTGATCATGATCAGGTTACCTTTTTGGTTCACGATACGTTTTGAGACAAAATATACCCACGCCCTGAGTAATGGTCTTTGTTTTCAAGGGGTGGAAGCACTAGGAACTGCACTAGCCCATGTGCAGGCTAGAACTTGATCACCAAACTTTGGAGAAACACTTTTGCTTCCCTCACTAGACTGTCCATAGGGATTGTGCTATTTTTTTCAATTTCTAATTTTCAACAGATGTTTGAGTTGAATGCTGTTAGGCTCTCTCTAGATAATGGCTTTTTTTTTTTCAACCAGACTTTTGGAACACCTAGTTCAAAAAGAGAGAGAATACCAGAACCTTCTACGGCAAACACTAGAACAGAAAACTCAAGAATTGTATCACCTTCAGTTACAATTCAAATCTAATGGTGAGTCATTTTCCACTTGCTCTGACTTGTATATGTGTGTGTGAGAGATCATTTAAAATCTGGCTAATATTCTGTCAGCCTTGACACAGTTGAGGTTATTCTCTATTAAACTAGTAAGTACTCCAGTATCTGGACTACTAATCAATAATAGAAAGGAACTACTGGTACACTCAACAACACAGATGAATCGCAAATGCATTATGCTAAGTCAAAGAGTCAGAAGGTTACATGCTATGATTCCATAAATACAGAATACTTATACAATGTTCTGTTAAAGGCAAAACTATAAAGAAAAAACAGATCAGAATGGGGAGGGGGTTGATTATAACAAGCCACAAGAACTTTTTGGGGTGATGGCAATTTCTGTATCTTGACTGTAGTGGTGGTTACATGACATTGCTTGTCGAAGTTCCTAGTGCTGCGTACCTAAAAAGGGTGGTTTAACTGCATCAATTACACCTCAGTAAACCTGCCTTATTGCTTTTGTGCCACTTACAGACGGGCTACAGCTACCTCTTGGAATGTAGAATGGATAAGCTCTGACGAAAAATCTCAATACTAAAACCTATTTCCTCATTTGATTTCCAATGCAGTTAGGGATGTGACTCCTATGAAAAGGCATTTTAAAGACAGGGGCATAAGCATTTACAGTGAAAGACAGATAACATATCAAATTCCAAACTGACTAAAGATGTCATAGGTAAGGATTATTTTAATCTCTGGAAAATGAATCCAAGAACTATGGATTGTTGTGCAACGTGTATTAGAGCAGCTGAGACAGATTTAATGCATTTCCTTTTCACATCACATTTACATTCTGGAATAGTTTATTTCATCAACTTGTTATTTTTGAAGAGTTTTACTGTTACACATTAATATACAACAAAACAAATTTCTAATCATTACAGATATTACAGAGACCCCAGCATCCCCTCCTGGGTCTCCTGGGCAGAGAACAGATAAAGAACTTGTAGACTGGTTGCAACTGCAAGGAGCGGATGCGAATACAATTGAAAAGGTAAATTTATAACCAAAAAACCATTCCTATGCTATTATTCCTATGCTATTGGCTCTTATATATTTGATCTTTGTTTCAGATTGTTGAAGAGGGTTATACACTTTCTGATATTCTTAATGACATTACTAAGGAGGATCTAAGATACCTCAGACTACGGTAAGAATAGCCTCAGAACACTGTAATAGGAAATGACTTTTTTCATGTGATTATGCCTTTAAATAACGCAGTAGAAAACAAAGTGCTGGTAACTTTACCCCCTTCATTGAAGTTAATTCCCTTTCCTATGGCTAAGTCAGAAAATAAACTACCCAAAGTCACTCCAAACTCAAGTTTTCCCAGGTTGAAGTTGGGAAAAAGCTGAGAGGTGGCAGAAGCTGAAGGGCCTGGTAGGAAAAGTCAGAAAGCAGTAGGAAGGTGAAACAGAAGAGCTCTCCCCCTTCAGTCTTCTGCCATCCGTGCCTGGCTGGGAGTGGAGTGAGGAAAGGCACGAGATGCCAGCATGCTACACCCCAACTGCAGCCTGCATTCTCCTTCCTATGTCATCCACCAGCACTCCTGTACACACCTCAAAGGCCATGCCCCACTCCTACTGGGACACAAGTGTCACCTCCATATGTGGAGAGAACATTTTTATTTTCATTAAGTTTTTAAGTTAGGGACTGCATTTTTAAGACTAGACAGCCAATCTAGAATTATACACTATAGCTTTTGCTGTAAGGGCTCCTAAAGAAGTATTTTGTGGTGTTGCTCTGAACTTATCCTTTCTTATGACTCTAAAGAAGACTCTTGTCTTGTAGTGGTGGTCTCCTCTGCAGGCTCTGGACTGCAGTCTCCCAGTACAGAAGACAGGCTCAGGGGTCCCCGGCAACCCCAGATGACGCTTAATCAGTCAGCTGAGCCAGGGGACAGAGGGAGCCAAGAGCCGACACCTTTGTTGTTAACATACACACGAATTCCGCTGAGTTTACACAAGGAAAACACCATTGTTCAATGACCAACTGAAGAACTTGGTGACGTTTTAAAGACCATCCTTAGTGAGATGGGGTTTTTTTTTTTTACCCTGTTATTTATCAACGTGTTTTAAAGGTGAGTAAAACTTAACTTTTTGTATGTATTGTGAGAACAGTATTTGTGAACCTTAGTTTTGGCATCCCAGAGTATTATGGAATTCTTAAAAATGAATTTTAATTTAATGAAAAAAATCAGTCTACCCTATAGCACTTGCTGGAAAGGTGAAACAATGGGTGTTGAAAAATAACAAAAAGGCTGGGAATCACTGTTTTGGATTATGCATTACTATTAACTAGTATTGCACTTACATTTGAGAGAGAGAAGAATATGCCTTATATTTAATAATGTTTGATATGAATGTAAATAGAAAACTCTTAAGAAAATAGCTTCATATTTATAGTGAATATATAAATGGAGAAAACTAAGTTATTTGGCCTTTGAAATGATTATGAAGTAGTCTTATTTAAAAATGGAATTGTCCTTGGTTAAAATAAATTTTGTTTTATTACGGAGAAACAACAGTCAGTGTGAATAGGCTCCAGCACCAATGTGCACATTGATGGGTGTGTGTGTGTGCAGTAGGGTACGCTGTGTTAACTGTTGGGTAATGCAAGTATGTCACTGTGAGGGACAGGGGTGTGATCCCCTCCTCACACACAACAAAAAGGTGGCAGAGTTAGGCGTACGAGGAATTGTTTTTCCTCTTAATGACTAAAGAATATTTGTTAAAATAGTATACAACTAAATCAAATAGAACTATTTTAAGGAAATAATTTGGGGTAAGGCTAAACAAACTCTGTAGTTCCTTTTTTGGGCTTATATAAATCTAAAATAACCTTTATAAAATACTTAAATGTGCAATAACCTCTTTTAATGCAACACTGTATAAACTGTGCATGCAATTACTATCTTCATCTACACACTAGTCTTAATGAAAGTTTACATGAACAAAGTTGAGAACACAGAGTTCCTTATAGTTGCTGCCGAACAGCCCACTGAAGGTGTAACCATCCGTTATGTGCAGTCTCCTATTAACTGATGGACTTAAACTTGATCCACTGATTTGCACCCCGAACTTCAAAAGGTGGATCACTGCTGTAGATGTGATAGCCTAGTTCTTCCAAAGGTGGTTCAGGATCAGCTGTGGCAAACTGGGCGGCATCCTCAATTTCTTTCCTCACTTCAACATCAATTTCCTAAAAATCAGATTACAATTCAAGAGATTCTTCAACAAACAGCAGCTTAGGTACCAACTAGTTCTACTTCGAACCTGTTGCTAGGATAACTGTAAGTCTCCTATTAGTACCAGAAGTACTAATAGTTGCTATTTTCAAAGATTTTATTTTTTAAATAAATGACAGGGATCTACACAGAAATATTCTGGAGTACAGACTTCAACAGATAAATGCTGGTGAGGGAACATTTATCAATTAAAAATCCAAAGTATATTTTTAGGAAAAAAGAATTGTGCTATTGGAGGATTTAAAGGCTTTGCCAATATGACTGATTAATGTCCTGTGACAATACGTACTCCTCCATTTACTTAGTTCATCCAGGAGTGGCAGCTTTTTGTGTGGAGAAAAACTGCTCAGAAAAGAGAGCCAACCCTTAAAGCCAGACTTTTAAACCACTGAGAGTGACTGTACCTTTAATTCTTCAACACTAGCAAGATTGCTGTTCACCATTCTATCCTTGAGAAGCATGATAGGGTCACTCTTACTTCTTACTTCCTGAATTTCTTCTCGTGTACGATAACTACAGGGAGGAAAACGTAGTTATAAGACCAGTTCGAGTATAGCAAAAACAGTTCTGTGAAATAAATACAATATGGGGCCAGGCTGTTACAATGAAGTGAAATACAGATGTACGTTTCTGAAACGACAGAGCACAAAGAACTCATTCTGTAAGAGCTGCTTCTATCTTTTATAGAAAACTCTACCCTGGCAATTCACCTGGCTTCTCCAGCATTCTGACAAGAGGGGTCAAGTTTTTATTTGCTTCTTTGATCTAGATGTGAGGGTATGAAGGAAGTGGTGGAGCCTCTTTATGTGCCAACTGTCCTACCCTTTTGAGCTCCTACATTTTACATGTGTGGGGACAACTATAACTTTGAGGCATCAGAATGCCAAGCAGGAAATAAATGTGCCTTTCCTTTCTCCCTTAAGACCCTAGAGAAGCATGGCTGGCAAAAACTTGGACAGCAGGTTTTCCGATTCTTGATTCTTGAACACGTCCTTCTCCTACATCATTTGAAGTAATGCTAAAAGTAAGGGTTCCACCATTTTTTGAAAACAGAATTCACAAAGTATATTTTTCCATACAAGTTGCTCTTTATAACATTTTCCCTTAGAATTCCATTCTACACACAGAGGCTTATTATAGTTTACTTTGACTGAATCTACTTCTTTTAATTGTGTCACACTCTGGGATTGCAGCATTACATGCCAGAGTTACTAAGTGACAAGTAAAACTCTGATCTTCCTAGGGTAACCTAATTTTGTTTTGACTGATTTATTTCAACATATTGAAGACTTCAAGTGCCAGTTAGCCACACTCCATGCCAGCCAGAACATTTTCAAATGCTAATCCTCTTCAGGTGGAGTATGCCATGAATGCATTTGGGGTAATGCCTATAAAAGCTAAATGCCCCCAAATATACTACTCTACACCACAGGACCCGTTTTATGCAACAATTTCTCTCTGCAATTGTTTTTTATTGCTGCTCAGGCTAACACATACATACTACATGTACATACCATATATTGTATGGATTTTCTATATTGGAACTAATTTACTGGGAGGCACTGCTTTCAGGCTAGACTCAAATAACTGCTTGACTAATGCAATGCATGAAGCCAACTGGTGTCTGGCTTCAAAAGCAAATGTTGAAATGCTTTGCTTTTTTCATATGAGTAACACCATTCAAAGCCCACCTGCTTTGGACACCACACTCAGATTTCCCATGACCATACCTGACTCCGGGATCACTCATGCTGTGTCCATGGTAACGGTAAGTCTGCAGCTCCATCAGTATGGGCCCCTAAAACAGAAACCAAGGTTAGGTGAGACAACCAACAATCCCCAGCCTCAAATGCAGACCTATATTCTCATCAGACCTATAAATCAGCTGAGTTGTCTAACATTTCTTATTGGTTGACTATTAAGTTATCTGTTTTCATTTCTAATACCTGTTTATTACATGTCTCATCCTTCTCTTCTCATTTTTAACAGGAACTTAATAAAAGCAACCTGCCGCAGTTTGTTTTGAATCAAAAAGGCATTTAGCACGTTACAGAGCCAATTGATGTTAAATAAAGAATTGTTCATTTCATCAGCATTGTGTTTGATATGTGATGCTATAAGAAAGAGCTCAGATTTAATGAAGAAAAAGCTATTAGAAAACAGATATGGCAGCAGGAGAGGGGACAGTTTTTATCTTCAGGGTCAAGAGGCTAGTCTTTTTCCCCAGTCACAGGTGAAATGATCTACAAGCATTCTGATCCTTTTAAAACACTAGAGAAAAATATAAACTCTAAAAATAAGATTAAAAGCAAACCTGTATGTGTGCTGGAAAGTACAGAAGGATGGAAGAACTAAAGATAGGGTGGGTAGGTGAATTTCCACCTCACACCCATTTCATGCAGTGTTTCGTGGGGGCTGGCAACCAATCTCGCTTCACACAGATCTGGCTAGTGTTGTAACAGAAAGTTGGCAGGCACTGTGGAGCTCTGATACTTAAACCTGTAACTCCGCTGGGAATCTGGCCAGCCTGGCTGTGCACAAGTAGCTTGCTCATGCTACACTAGCCCCCTTCCAGAAGATGACGTTGAACACGGAGGGGGTGGACCGAGGATCCCTGGGTAGTTTGGTATGGGACTCTGAGTCCAAGTGATTGGGTTTCAATCCTGGCTGTAATATACAGTATCTATGTACCCTTAACTGTTCTGTGCCTGTTTCCTCATCTACAAAACAGGTAAAACGGTAATAACCTAACTCAGTTGTGCAGACTAAATAAGATAATACATAAAAAGTGCTTAGTGTGTCAACTGACATATGTCAATCCCTCAACTATCACCTATTCTTTCTGTCATCCAGTAGACATATGGAGTAGACATATGGAGTGAGTTGGGCTAAGGAGGTGGTGTAAAAGGTTTTCCAGACCCTCCCTTAATTCCAAGATCACGCTTTGGTCAGGCTGGGAAAGTTAACACATTATAAACCACTGACCCTGTTTCCACATAGGGTTGGAACCCACAAATTCTTTTAGGAACTGAGAGATATGGGGACCACAGC